ACTACAGGCATAAAAATGTCAAACTTGTCAAATAACCCATCAGACGTAAACACAATCAATAAAATTCACAAATGAATAGTCTTCTTTACCTACTCATTTATATTAGTTATTGTTCAATCAATTGTATTCAATGAAAAGACAACCGTAATTTGATCTAGATGGTTAGAAGTTAGTACAATACATTTCGAATAATTTAAAAATATAAGTTCATAAGGAATACTACGTTTGTAATACACTTTGTTTCTTCTTTTCAATTTCCATTTTATTTATCAAGAAGAAGACTAATTAATATGACAGTAACTACAGGAGACAGTGTATGAGGTTGTGCAACTCCGTGAATTGATTGAAGTTAGACATTAACACCATTAGATATCGGCTCAGTGGTCCAGAAGTTAGGCATTCGCGCGCAACATCGAAGGTGCTGGAGACGTGGATGCGCACTGCCACCGATGAGTCCCGTACCAGGAAGAAACGGTTGTCCAGTGGTTCTAGGTTTCTAATAGTGGTCTAACAATGACTGATTAATGATTTAAAATGTGTATTATGAATTTTATCATATATATCTGTTGAATAGGTTATTAAATTGCTCTACAGACTACATTTCTCACATTTTCATTAAACGTATGTGTTTTTTAAAGAATGATTGACACAAAAGGTAATGTCATTAAAGAAATAAACTGTTTTATAAATATTATCAGTCGTGATCGACTAAGGTTGATGACATATGTGTAATTTTATGTTTAAAATAGTTTGAAAATTAAATTTATATCAACCGAATTATTGACTGTTCTATAAGACGTGTTCTGTTGTTACGTAGTTGCTTAAAATCGCTTAAAATGATTAATACGTTCTTTGTAATTCTCAGATTTATGCTTAATGAGGTATGTACATAGAGGAAGGATTGAATTTATGTAATTATCATTGAAAAAAGGCAGTGATTAGTACGTTAAGAACGAGAGTGTTATTCACTGTCACTTGTTAAGTAACTGATTGCTTAACTTTCGTTCGATTGTCTTTTCTTTTGACCTGATCTATGAATAACAAATGCAAGATCATTCATTAGTGATATTATAACTGCTGAGATCAACCAATTAAGTTTTTAAGTGCTATTTAGAACTTTTCAGCTAAAGCATATCTTCACTCTTGAAAGAACTGACCTTCATTGTATGATTCAAACAACCATCATTCAGCTTTACCATTTAAGGCGCTAACGTTGAGCTATTCAAAGAGTGACTGACTTCCTCATTTTCCACATTTTCTAACAATAGACAGAACAGTTTGTTAGTTTATTATAAAGCAATACTACTGATGATTATTATGTTGATATTCTCATTTAAAATGACAAATGAAAGTTTGACGGGTAAATTATTTCCGCTACGGAAATAATCAATCAAATTTTAATTTTAATTACATAATCAATTATCGTTGTTATCAACAAAACAATACACACTTCAATTATCATTCTCTTTATGCAATTTTATAATATGGAGAATGTTTTTTTTAAATCTTTTTGCACAGATCAACTTCAATCTCAAAGAATCAATACATAATATGAAGATATATTCATGATATGTATGATCATTCTTACATAAAAGCCTATATATATATATATATATATATATATATATATATATATATATATAATATCATTTATCTACTGCATTATATATAAACTGGTTTATATCAATCAAATTGAATCCAACTATTATTTATTTTCTACTATGGACAGACTACATAGCATTCATGCATTATATATATATATATATATATATATATATATATATATATATATATATATATATATATATAAACATATATTAGCTTTATGAACAAAATCAAATGACAAGATTCAATACTAGTGTGACCTTCAGTTTAATCATCAGCATCATCAGCAATATATAAATCACCATGATCATTCATTCCGAGTATCATTTCGGTTTGCGTTTTACTATGAATGAATGTCTTTCCAGTTCATTTTTTTGTTTTAACTTATGTATTTACTTTCAAACTATTATGATTATTATTATTATTACTTCTATTATAAACAATGATATGTTCTAGCTTTGATTTCTGAACAAAACAGATTATCATCATTGTTTTAATGAATCAATGTTCAATGCATTGTTCAATATTCAACGGGTAGTATGCATTTATTTATTGATTGATTTATTTATATAATTTTTGGTTGTTGGAAATTTGTAACTTGATATTTTCATTGTAAACAAACAAATGTGTATATGTACAATTACTTACTGTATGATATTATATGAAAAAGGATATTGTTTTTTTTTAATGAGCAAAGAGTTTCAAAACAAAGTTATCATTTATACATATATATATATATGCTTTCATTTTGTTTAATATCCTTGTGTCATTTATTTCCCTATCGTACCTATCTACCTATTTGCCTCTGTTGTTATAATTGAACAAAAAACACTGTTGTATATAAACTATTGATTTACAATTTATATATATATATATATATTTATATATAATCAGATACATTTATACAAATATATACTCCAAAAAAAGGATTTCCCTGTTTCTTTTTCTATAATAAACAATTACTGTAGATCAGTTAGAAATGTGTGTGCTTTCAGGAAGGTCAATGAATAATTTAGGGTTGAAAAGTTGATGTACAAATGTATTAGGACTTATTGGAAAGCAAGTTAAATACTTGAATGAAAAATATAAACGATGTTAAAAGTCTCAGCTATGTTACTCTATGTTACTCTATATCGAGAAAACGAAACTATCTAAAGATGTGAATTCTATCTAGAAGATTATGAACAATTATAAATCATTGAGAACTATTTTAGCCGTGTTACTCCAGAACTTTTAATAGTATATGCACAAGAACCTTTGGTTAGTTGAACCTGTTTGATGTGTATTTCTCACAGCAATCATTGTTTTTGAACTCAACAATGGAGACATATGTGGTCATTTAATGACGATGCAGACAAACCATTATTGAATAACTTTAAGAAGAAACTTCTGCTATGTAGAGATGAGAGAAATTCACCTCTTAACATTGTGAATGATTCTTAATATAAAATATTTCTTAATTATACTTTTCAGCTGTTATACTTGTACATCGTAAATTATGCAACCTCATGTAATCACAAACATAACTTTTGTTAGAGTTATTGAACTGCATTACTCAAACTATGTGCTAATCTCTATTTATTTCAAGTAAAAGTACAGCTTACTAACACGAAAACACAGAACGAAGAAAATCTGGAAATTCTTTAAAGCTTTTAAAAGCCTAGTGTTTAGTTTAGAACATATATCAGCAAAATTATATGTAGTAAATTAAGATAGAATCGTTGGTATTATTAAAAGAAGACACTTTCCTGGTTAAATGAGCAAGTTTATTTTGCACACCAACGTACACAATCGCGTAGCGTGTTTCAAATTACTTCATTCTACGATATGTTACCAAGTTCTTGTTTCACAGTCAGTTGTATATCAGGCCTCTTGCTACTTTTATCAGACAGTTACATATTCTTTAATCAGTACAATAGTGTTTTTCAAGAAACATAATTGTCTAACGATGTATTCAATTCACTTGAGCACAAAGCTTATAAGATAGTAGCCGGTTTAAAAGACAATTATCTCTTTAGAAAATTAATCCTAGAAATTTAAATCATATTCGTAATTCAATAAGATTCAAAATAATCTGAAAGGTCTGTGAATATTTTAAGTCAAATAATAGAAAGCGACAGTTGTTTGCACTTAGTATTCAACCTAAAATAGATTGATTTACAGTCAGAGTTGGTGTCAACCTCCGAATGAAGAGCATGATGCTTTAAAAAGGGGGAAGAGGTTAAGTACTTAGGGTATTTAGATGAACTCAAGATGAACGGTTAACTAGGTGGCTTTTAGTCATATTTTCAGTCTTGGGAGAAATGCAAGCATAGTAGGATTTCTAACCATTACTACGAAACGCTGGTGTAGGACATCCTACTGAGTAACGTCTGAAGTCTAACGTTAAATAAGATCTACTTCAAAACTGCTAATTTAGTACTTTACAATGGTCACTGTTAAATGATCGTCTGGCGTGTATATTTAGCTCCTACAAAAGACCAGTCTTGTTTACATAGCTGAGCATTATTACCTGCTGATGTAGTCTTAAATGATAACCAACTTAAATTTAAGAGCAACATCAATTCCTCTTTTTTTACAAATGTATCTAACTGATATACGGGAACCAGTTTTACGTATTCATTCAATGTTTCTTATAGATTGCCTTTACTTTTTCTAACAAGTTATTTTTAGTATCTAAAAATTAATGAATCGATGGTCTGAATTATTTGATAACTATTTTGGTGTAGACAGCAATATAAGATCATCTCATTCCTCATATAAAATTAATCCTAAGAGCAAGTGACTTTACTCGGCAGTGTCATATCTCTGTAATCATTAGTTCTGACTTATTCCCATTAATCTTGTCACAACTTAACAGTTGTTGATAGATAGTTAAATGACAGCTCGCAATCTAAAATTCTTGGTACCTGGAACTCTTCCACACAATTTGATGTGAAATCCTGCATTCGAACTAATACTTCATATGAAATTTAAATTCAAGTCACAAACTGTGACAAACAATTTTTAATTTACCAAACAATTCTTATAAAACAAAATTGTATGCAATATTTTACAAATCTGTTAAGTCATTTTTTGTGAAAAACATACGAAAATCTTCAGTAAAATTATGCTTTAAAAAAATAAAAGCATTTGAAATGGATTATTTGATGGTGACTAAGTGATAGTTTTCTCGGATTTATTAATCAATGTGATTCTGCTCGATCTGTATAATTTAGTCAAATAATCGTTATGTAAAAGAACAAATGATATTTCAAGAACCCATCATGACAAAAAGAGACGGAATACAATCAAAACTGCAGTAGTCATCTGGAAATTATCTCTCTATCTAAACTCTGCTGAAAAATGCAAAAGTCAGTTTATTCAAAATTCATGGTTTTTTATTTATTTATGGTGAAAAAATACAAAATACAAACAGTCCATAATTACATAATTGACATTTTCTTAGAGATTTGTATCACAGATGTTAGTGGTGTTTATTTAAAAAGAATCAACAATAAATTTACAGCAATACACTGAATAGAAATGATCAACTTGAAATAGATACAATACGAAAACAACATGAATTCTACGAAAGTATACTGATGATATAAGAGAAAATCAATGTATTAATACAGAAAAAACACACTGACATCGTTACCGTATACGTATATATATATTTGTCAATGAGAGAAATGTTTTTAGAGCGATTTACTTCTGTAATAAATCTCGTGTAATTTCTAAATTCATACGATTTCGTTCAACCAATATATCGGCTAATTCTTTATGATCAGATTGTCTTAAGGCATATTCTAATTCAGCTATTTTTATATCATCTTTAACTGTTTCACGTAGCTTTTTCCAATACATTAATGTTTTTTGACTAAATGCTGCTTCACGTTGATTAAATGTACGCATTTCTTCATAATTATTAATACAAGTTGTTAATGGTATATTTAATAATAGAAATACTCTCATATCATTTTCAGTTAATGCTTTAGCTATATTTAATATGCTTATATCTGAAAGCACAGAAGCTGATAATTGAGTATTTCCTTGTTCTTTATCGTCAATTTCATCTGTTGAATAGACACATACGTATAAGGCAATCAAAAAGTTAATTAGTGAATAGCAGAGAAATCTAAGATACCACCAATCTAGTCCTGCTTATAACTCATGAGGTCACTGTTCATGTATCCAAGTGCTGATGCTCATGCTGAAACTCGAACCTAATACCTTTCACTTTACGATTACAAAATATTTTTCAATGAATCAACGATTACAGATAGTAAGTAATTTTTCCGACGTATGAATTTTATTAATAAGGGCTTGTTACTTTGCATGGCCGATGTTAGACATTGTAAGCAACAAATTTACCAAAAACTTGAGACTGAATGGAAATATTGAGGCTATCCACTCAGGTGCACAAATGCAAAAAAGACTGATCAATTCAAGTGGCTGACAGCAACAGACTAATCTTAATAAATATTACTTTTATATATTATCAACAATTATCAGTCCATTGCGTTGTTTAAAACACTACGCAATTTCCGGCTGCCCTTTTGCCTTCCGGATACGTGATTCAGAAACATTTGTCTGCTCAGCTATTTAACAAAGCATCTAGCTATGGCACTTAGGGTTTTTATGAATGCTATCAACAATTATAACTGAGAACTGATAAGTCTTTTGTCACAAACAAGGGAGGTTTCGAAATGGATTATGTTGATGCACGTTAAATTTCGTAAATTAAGGTGTCTGTTATCAAAATTTATGCAGTTAGCAAACACACTATTCACATTTAATAAAAATGCACTGATTACCTGACATTCTAATCGACCTATTCTTCGACAAACTTATCTTATGAGGATGAGTTCAAGGGTTTTCTGAAAAAGGGAAGATTAGAAAAATTTATGAGTTTCAGTCCCTTTTAATAATATTCAGTAGTACTAGCAAAAGGGCATTTTTCAGTTGTAGAATCTTTAAGTGGGATCATTAGCATTTTGCTTCCTTTGATTTTTTATTGCTTTAAAGCACAGACAAGAATGATTGTCGGTGATAAAGGCGCGTTTAAATAAGGTTAGATCATTTAGTAATCCATAAACAAAATAAGATCCAGAACTTATTCTTACAAGTCCAACCTTCTACATTTCATATCAGTTTAAGCAAATGAATTTAGTTATGAGCAATTCCATTAATAAATGTTTGGACATGAATGACAATAAACAATGTGCAATAGCTTCGTTTCATCCCCCTTACTCACAACAATTTAAATGATAGGCTTTATAAATGATGCAATAATAGTATTAATTTTCTCCACTGTTTCAATATGTCTTATAAGTGTAATATCTGAAACATAACTGATAAAAATACTTTTTAAAACAACATAAATCCAATTTATATAGTATAAAAATACCGTAGGGATCATAGCAAAGCCGTTATAAGGGGAGGTGTGCAATTCTTCAGTAATATAGTTGAGATAACGTTCACTGAACAATAGACTTAAATGTCATGTACTTTTTAACTAGTAGTCCGATAGGTTTTTCCTAGGTTTCTGGGGATAAAAGTAAAACCTACTGATCTCAGTAAAAAATATTTGACCTCTATTACTGTCCCTGATAGATAAGTATGCATATATTTGTGAAGCATATAGAATGTTAACTAATGAATAACGACAATAACTAACAAATTTGAAACCCCGGATTTTTGTACATTTTCAGAACAACCTTGGAAAGACTAATTCTGCCTTTCAAGGTTCATTAGGATTCACACAATAATTTGGACAGAATAAAACTTCTGGGCCTATTGGATCATCGACACGTTCAATCGTGGAAATGGGTATGGGAGACAATCAGAAGAGAAATAATAATGAAGAAGAATAAAAATGCACTCTATTCGAAGAAATGTATCAATTGCAAGGTTCCAAATGAGTGGCCGTGATCATTTCCTTAGGTTGAAAATCCCAATAGTCGACCACTCTCATATAAATATATTTTGACAGTCCTCTCCAGTGTGTTATACCAATGTTTAACGCTCCTGCTATCATCCAAGACCCTTCTGTCACCCCAACAATTTGGTTTCCTGCGTTATTGATCTTCTGACCGTGACGATTGCATGTACACTCATGTTCACTTAATAATGAATCGTTAACCACACGTAAAATATGAACGGTTCTTCCCTCCTAATTGTATCCAGAGTTGAAAAAGGTCTGTGAATTCTAGTGTTGCATGGTCTGAAGGTTTTACGCTTATGTAGAATCTATTTTGAAGGCTTAGTTTTTGGAAAATCCCTCCATGTATATATATTTGTGTTACGATCTGACAGACTCTTCCTGTTCAATATTTTGGTTCTTTATTTGATCCCACCTGAGATTTTATCATTCGTATATTGTTATTATTTCTATATCTTGTACCTATATTGAAGTTTACATGTTTCCTTCTGAACTATTTATGTGTTGCTTAAAATTGATAATTAATATGGCTACAGCCATATTTGGATTTGATACTCTAGCAGTAACTGACTGGAAGCACTTATTCTTCCAGCAACGGAACCTATTGTGGTGATTAGAAATTCGAAAGTGTAATATTGTTTCGGTAATTGTTTGAATTTCCTTTTTGAATAAATATAGAACTGTTCATCCCCAGAATTATCGTTTTTGGTCTTAGACTGGGTGAGACGCGTGTGAACCTACACCTTTCGGTTTCAGAGCAGACTGTGAGAGTAACATATTCACTAATGCTTAGTCTTATAAATGTCTTTTTTGAAGAGACTTAGCGTATGAAATTAGAGAGTATTTTATCCGGTTTTAAGGGATAAGTTCCACTTATTTGTTTATGGTTTTATATGGCTTCATTTAGAGTAATGAATTAAAGCGTTTCCACCAAAAAGATACTCTGGAAAGTAACCGAACGCAAGCCATTAAATCAAATTGAGGACTCAGATCGAAATTTTTCTGAGAACTCATACATCGCAGGATCGCTACGCATTAAAGTATATGAACCGTCAATCAGATCTTTTATTGACCAATACTATCCTAGACAGTTTTAGGTATCCTCTTCGATACTTGATTTAGCCCGATCCCAACACAAAGCTTAAGAAAAACATTCAAAGACCAGAAGCACGACAGTGAACTAGACTGTAGGCGCACCTTTTAATTTTAACGTTTAGTCAAATCCTGGGATTCACTACCGGCTGAGGTAGTTTGAGATACCTCTCAGGAGTCGTTCAAGAGGGAACTTGGCAAATTTTTAAAAAATCAGCTTCTTCTTGTCATAGCTAGCTGATATTTTTCTTATGTTCATTATATACGTATATGTCCTTACCAGTATGTACCGGCAATCTACTGCTACCAGATGCGAATTACCTCCATGTTAAGGATTCTGTGTTTATTGCACGTTTTTCGCGTTAGAATTATTGTCAATCTATTTATCCTTCATTGATATTAGGATAACGTATCATAGAATGTCAGGCTGAAAGTGAGGAATTTAAGTGTAATTTGTCACTCGTACAAGTAAATACCGCCATGACTACAAAATCACGAATCCAAGTATTTGGTCGAAGTGACCTGGAGATGTGACTTATTCAAGCACAGCGATAACCTATGTGGCCCAATATTAAATCTCAAGTAATTCGATGCACAAATTTATATCCTCTCCACTCCTATTCAGTTCCTAGGGCAGTCCGCAACCCAAGTCTGTATCCTCTAGTATCAGAACCATTTTCCATTGCAATATATAGGGCAATGAAGCCACATTACTTATCTGATGGTGCAAGAACCAAAAGACCTTTCAAAGAGGAGACACTAGACGAAAAAAAAGGATATGAGTACGTGCATGCGCGTTTGGATAAGATGTGGAAAACATTTTGTTTTGCTCAGGGCTCCTTGCGATATAGCAGGATTTAGCTAATCAGAGATACTGAGGTTACATTTCCATGTTTATAACCTTCCAACCAAGAAATCCTATTACAAGCAGATTTGGACAGTTATCGTGAAAAACAGCTCACTCATCATTTCTTGGGCTACAGTAAGCGAAATATCACAAACGCATCGGAAATTAAGGTCTGATTAATCATACTTTAGTCTTATCCAGAGATATTATCTGATGAGTCATGACTCAGCTTTAAGCAAGTGTTCTATTCCTTGCCCCTTCCCCTTTATTTATCTTTCTCAGCACCTCATGCATCGTCTTAAATATTAGCCTTGATAATTACCAAAGACTTAGCTGCTTTACCTAGGGGCCCGTAAAATTCTAAAGAATCTTAACAAGAAGACCTCTGCACATGTAGTACCTCCACATAAACTTGAGTTCGCTCATGTTTAATTCGATCAAGCCTTTCGATTAACTTGTGTAACCAAGCTACTTATATAGCTACAACCCATATGTACCACTGGTATTTTTTATTGTCTGGTTTGTATGAGATTGTACGACTGAACATTGCTTACGCCTACGCGCTTACTCATCCTTTTCGCTTTAATGTTAATCTCTTAAATACCTCGATGACCCAGATATCTTCTTATGTATATATACGAACATTTTAATCTCATTAATTCATTCGCTCGTTCGCTCGCTAGTGTGCCTGCCCGGTCTGCTTGTGGTCTGCTATCCCATTTTGTGGTGTGCCAAAATAAACGTATTCAACACTTCGAGTTCACCTTCTGATTTATAAACCGTCAGACGCTATTTAGTAACGATTGTCTGGACGAGCTAATTAAGAACACACCGATATCGGCCACCACAAATCCGGTGAGCCCGCCATTAAGTCTATCACATTTGCTACACACACTTACTTCATCACTTCTTGCTAAATTCGGAACTGGACTTACCTTGCATTGGTCCTCAACCAGAAGTGGTTTGTTGCAACTCAAACGTCGAAGCTGGCGCTAACTATCGCTTTAGCTAACCATATTCTTACCTTTTAGGCTGCTCCACAAACTCACATGCCTGTAAGTTTGAAATTGGAATTCAGAAAAACAGTTCTAGAAGTTTAGATACGCGCCTTGCCCGAATAATCCCAAGAGAAAGCAATTTATATGGGTAAGGAACGGTTCTATTGATAATTAGATAATATAGATAATTACCTAAACAATATCACACTGTTCTCTGTCAATTATTCTCTCCCAATTCTGGAAGAATTCTTCCGTATAGGTTCCAGTCCAGATTCACGTTTACCCGCCAGGGTATCAAATGTGATATGGCTGTAGCCATAATTAAGTATCAACTTAAACAACATAATACAGTTCGGAAAGAAACGTAGAAACTGAAAACGGTACAAAAGACAGAAACTATAACAAAATAGGTTAACATCCCGAAATGGAAGTGAACAGATTCAAAATGACGCTTAGCATCAGAGTTATTCCTTTCTTTAACAGATGGGCTTGACAACAGTTTTGTAATTCATATTCTCACAGAGACTTCTGTTATTATCTGATTTCCTGTTTTCTGATTTTCAGTTAACAAGTTTTGCTGTGGATAAAATACATAAGTGTTACCGTTTAAACGGAGTTATTGGATTTCGGAAGTATTCTTGAAGTGCATAGCTCTCCGGTTCACTATTCCCCCTCTGACATAAGGAATATTATTGTGTAAGTGTTTCCAAGTTTAGGTCACGGCTTTATGGAGTTCGTAATAGACACCACTATTTCAATCGTTCGTAGCTATAATTCACTGTTAAATAAAGCATATTATTTTAATCGCTACATAAGTAAGTACTAACAGTTAAATAAATTTTAATTTTCCCAATTCATTAACATCCAAACACCTTGCCCGCTTACCAACTTAGCGCTTTTCTCGTTAAGTTTTTACTTTTTTCCCTTTCTCCTATTTCCAGCTCACTGTCCTTCCTGTTTGCAAACTACCCGTGAACTGATACATATCTTACAATTTATACAATTAGTTTACTTAAACTCAATGTAACATGCTAGGTGGATATTTTGTCTTTCATACAGAAGGCAAAGCTGTCTGAAGTGCTTGTAATGTGGAGCTAGTAGAGAAAGTGAATTCCGATATTGTGTACAAAAAATAGATAGTAGACTAGAAAACATTATTTACAATCAACCATTAAACGTAAGAGAGCCTAGCATCACAAAACAAGGGAGGGTGATGTATCTGACCAGCATTCATGACTGTGGGGCGATAACCTCAATCTACACATGTCTGTAGGGCAGAACATTTTGTTTGCTTACGGCTCTTTATGATATATCACGCCTGAATGAAATATTTTGTTGGTTGTGTATGTAACTACGTTTTAGGACCGAGATATCTGCCTTACTGACTATCTCCGGAACGTGTGTTGCCTTCAGTGACCAATAATTATTGTGTGCATGTTGAGCGGCTGTAGTAGTCACACGACAAGTAAGCGGATGACATCAGAACAGGATTATATATAGGCTAAATTCCTACTAGTAACCCGTTAGTGATTTGCATTGAAACAGGCGATAAAAGCAGTCGGCCCCACCTGAACTCACGGATTACTGTATTGATGAAATCCTTATGAAATTAATCACGGGTGCTAGAGCATACATTCAGATGAAATCTAATAAACTTGGTGTTGGTGAATCAACCTTTACAATACACACTATATGCTTTGAAACAAATCACTTGATGAAAATTTTCATTTTTAAAATGGTATTACTGGAGAGTTATTTCACTGGAGTACACCAAGTCAGCCTTCCAAGAGCTCATTTCAATATCCAATGAATCAGGTGTGCAACACCGTTGTGGCCATCGCTAACTCGCGCGCATCTTCGCGTTATCGAATTTGCGGTAGTCAAAGTGGTTAAATCTATCGCTTTTTCATTTGTGAAGTATGTCAATGGAAATTTTATAAAATTGCTTTACCTACATTGAAAAAGTTTTTTTTTGCTCACTAATACATATTTGTGACTGCTTGGTCAGTAATAATTATTCGTGATAAGTCTATCGAAATTTTGCTTTTCTGCAACATAAGGACTGGAAATCCGTCTATTAATCACCCCCAAAACAACGCATTCATGTTTTAAACACGAAATTATTTTAACCGTTTCCTTTTCAAAGCTGGTTGATTATCCCTAATCTTATGGATATTTCCTTGTCATTTCAATAACAATGACCGGAAGAAAGCTATGTGTCCTACTCCCTTGCCGACATTGTGAATAACCTTATGTACCGCCCAACCTTTAGTAGGATTATGTCTAATTTAATCGGTCACAAGTACAGTTACACTTGTATTTATTCTAAAAGTTTACTGTTACTTATTTTACAATCGTTTAGTTATTTATTCTAAAAGTTTACTGTTACTTATTTTACAATCGTTTAGTATCGTCTATTTACGTTCACTTGGTTGCTTTTTCCTACCTACCGTATTTAAGAGTTGTATTCATATCCAGCTTTATGCATGCTAGTCAGCATACCTGTTGCTTGTTTTCAATGTTCGCTTTGTCTTTGGATTGTAAATGGAAATCTATCTAGTTCCAAATTACACAACTCCATCCCTTTTATAAGATAAACTATAGTGAAGTTCAATAGTCCTGGGACTAAACCAGCAAGTTATTGGTTGAGACATACGTACCAAAAGTTTAACACCTACCTAATACCACTAACCTTCACAGTTGTTGTGGTTTGTTGTGTTGCGGCGGTAAAACTGGCATATTCATTGCTTAAGGAACTGAGTCAACTCAGTTATTTTCCCACACATCCAATTCTTAATTTAAGCCGAATCTATTTCATAAGACAAGACAGCTAGCTAACTGGTTGGGTCTGTCAATTATTTTGTGTCGTTTCCGTACGAACAACCCAGCCGTCTTACTCCTTTCATAATAAACAATCATGGAAAGATGAAAGCAGAAGTTACGAAACAGCCAATGACGTGTCACTTTCGTATGTTATATGCCCTGCATGAAACAACGTTAAATCTTTTAGCATTCCGGAAAATCATTTAGTCTTCTTTAGTTTTGCTTCATATAATATATATTTGCGATTTATACCGTGATATGCCTATAAAAGTTCACCTACTGAAGTGGTTCAGACACTGCCTCCTACTTCGATGGACGGTGCTGTCTGATATAAAAGTAGATTGGAAAGCTAGTAATCAAATCAATGCGTGTATCAGCCATCGAAAATAAAATCCTAATAAATGATAAATCCATTCACCAGGTACTTGGGTATAAGCCACACCAAGTATACGGAATAATGATACTACTTGGTTTCCTAAACCGACGTAAATTGGTCAAAGTTCGAACTAGGGACTTTGTTGCCATAAGTTGGGAGCCTTAACCTCTGTTGAATTCATATACATCTGAACCGAGCCACATAGAATGATGACGGCTATCCGGTTGGAGTCTGCGATTACCGTAACCAGAGATGGATGATGTGGTTCTGAATTCGTCCGAAAAGTACAACGTCATTCACTCTGCCTTCCCTTAGATGTTAAGTTTCGCAATCATTCTGTACTTGTTTTATTTCATGAGTTCAATCTTTTTGGACCAAATATATACCTAATCTTTCATACTAGTACTGACACTTGATAATTTCACCTCGTTATGCTAAGGTGGTCTACCACTAATCTACCGTCTAAATACGAATTTACTCAGCTTCATCACTTTAATGAATTCTATAGTTTCGTGGCTCAAAGAACTAATGATGGTGATCGTCTACTGCAACTGTGCTCAGATAATCGCCTATTTCTGGCAAATACTAACTTAAAGCATAAGGAAAAACAATATTTTGACTTGGAGACCCGCCAAAATCGACTCAACGCTGCACACAGCTGGACCAGATCGCTATCAGCCATCGGCGGAGGGGCTCCACTAAAGACTGCCGCTCATTCTGGAGCACTTGTCTAGATTCGGACCATACTCTAGTGCGAGCGTGTATTTGTTTGAGGTTTATTGGACGTAGGAAAGGCACTACATGGAAACTTCTAAGCAGCTGGAAATTCAGTTACCCAGCCACGTGAGTGATGCCCAATCCGAGGCAGCTTGAAATCATATCCAGAAAGCTGTGGAAACGGCGTTGATATCCGCTAGTAAGGTAAACTAAAGGGTTAGAGGTAAACTGGATTTCAGTAGCATCTGTCATACTGACAGATGCTCAGAAACTTATCCCTTCGGGTCCTGGACATGATGAGCAGCGGAGCCAGCTCAAACACAGGTTGATAAAAAGCCTACGCAATGATCTGGAACAGTTGTGGGTGACGAAAGCGAGAGCGATGGAAAAGGCAGCGGCAGTAGGCAACAGCAGACAGTTTTTCCGACTTATTAAGGAAACCTGTATTAGGAATCCGAATGTAAGTGAGACTAATTCGGAAAAGGATGGTCTTATCATTCATTCTCAACGCAGGAGATTGGATCGATGGGCAGAACACTTAGGGGCTTCGTTCAACTGGCCTTCAGCCGCACTTCGATTTCCCACGATCTCCAGTCATCCTGAATGGCAAATCGATGTAAGCCCTCCTAGTTTTTATGAAGTTGAGAAACCTATAGGAAATCTGAAGCGAGGTAGAGCAGCAGGTCCTGATAGGCTTACCCCTGAGATTTTTAAGGACGGTGGTCCAGTTTTAACAGTTGGATTGACTGAGATCTTAGGCAGAGTCAGGTAACTGGGCGTAATACCATCTGGCTGGTTTCAATCACTGATTGTCCTAGTCTATAAGAAAGGATGAAAGTCCTTGTGACAATCACAGAGGGATAAGTCTAACTAATATAGTATCTAAAATATTGGCCTCAATAATACTCCGATGCTTAACGAAAGCTCGTGAAGAGCAGACTCGAGAAAACCAGGCTGGTTTCAGACCTGGATGTGGCTGTATAGACCACATTTTCACACTACGTCAGGTCCTAGAACAAAGACACGTTTAAAAGCCCCACAATAGTAGTATTTCTCCACCTTAAAGCGGCATTCGACTCTGTTGACTGTGAGGTTCTGTGGCAGTATCTGTCATTAAAAGGTGTACCAAAGAAGTACATCAACCTTATACAGTCTCTTTACTCAAACTTTACTGGTCGATTGGTTTTTGCCAACTTGCGTCACCCAAAACATAGGGAAGATATCCGGCTGCTAACTAACTCTACTACGCACCAATTCACTCCGTCCCACTCGACGGGTGTGAAATATGGTCATTAAGAATATAAGATATTGTAGGTTACTAGTATTTGATCATAGGTCTCGAAGCATTGCTTGTATATCCTGGGACAAACCTATTGAAAGAATCGTTGTCAAATTACAAGAAATTGTAAGATTTGGTAGTAAAGTATGGGTTTAGATGGTTTAATTTAGTTAATTAAATTAATTGAATCTCACCGTTCATTTTCCTAAGTTTTCTTGCACATTTTAAGAATCGATTTCTTACTTATACAATTTCGTTCCTGCCATTTGTTTTCCAGTTCAGTCCTGATTCTGTATTATTATTCTGTTTCACATTAAACTACCCAATCCACTTTATAAATAATTAACGACATCACATTAACTCTATTCTCATTGATCTGACTGTCTTGGAATTTCGTTTCCAGGTTTCTGTCATTGTGACTACTGATATGTCCAACTCCGCTGCTGATGGTGCTGAGCGCAAACTCGGAACTTTATCCAAAACTTCAGGTATATATCTTTTGTTTCTCCCATCATTATATTTTGCCTGATGTGGTGCTTAGTTTGTTTATGTCCATTCCAGCCTGTGCATATTAAACACATTTTAGGTTAATGATAGTAATAGTAATAAGTCCTGAAAATAATAGTACGGAATTCTTGCCAGTTTACATGCATAGTCTACTTGGTATAGGTTGAAATGTTTAGTGTAGAGGCTAGATAAGGTGTTCTTGTTCGAAAATTCTTTAGACAGTACATTTTTCACGTGTTATCTTAATGCAAGGCGCCTGTCGGGAACTGTTAATTATTTTGAACAAAACATTCTGTCATTATATGGACGGTCTACCTAGTGTCTACAAGTAAGGAGGTTAAATAGTTGGCTTGATAATAAAACAATTAAAAATTTGGAGTTCCTCTGATCTCACTTATGGAATGGGATATACTTTTAGCTATCTAAGCCATTCTCTGAGGAGTAATGGGCATCGATGCAGTCAAAGAATCAATCAATCAATCAGTAGCAACGTAGAACTTCGTACGTACGTACATCAGTTCATGTTGCCATACCACGTTAGTATAGAGATGCAGTTGTCAATTCAAATCCAATAGTATTAGAGGTATTGGCAGTAGTCGGAGGTTAGGTTTAGAAGATGTTATTCAAGAAGTAGAATCTAGTGAAATAAACTTAAAAAGATAAAGATAAAGTGATGAGGAATTAAAAAGTTTAGGATTTGAGAGAACACAAAGAATGAATGCACCTGCGCCATTGCAAACGGTTTTGAGCCATGTCATTCAAGGTCTCTAACCATCGATTACTATCATCTCGCGGACCCCAACCAGGTAGTCGACACCTACCGACACTACTCAGTCCACTTGTCAGTGACTTCATGGATTTCTGCCATGTTTTGGTTTGGCCGCCCCTAGCTTTCTTCCAACTTACTCCTAAATCGCAAAACATAGCTCGATGAGGCAGTCGGTGTTTAGGCATACGCAACACATTTCCTAACCACCTCAACTGATGGAGTTTCACTACTTCATCTATTGATCTGCCATCCTTAACTAGCACTCGTTTCCTAATAACAGCGTTGATCACTCGGTTGTCCCAAGATGCACGAGCGATGCTTTGAAGACACCTATGATCGAGAATCAGTAACCTATGAATATCTTCTACTCTCATTGGCCAGTAGGACAGAGCGAACTACTGCGCAGTAAACTCGTCCTTTAGTCAGAAAACGGATATCTCGCCTACGCCATAAGTGACGCAGGTTGGCAAAAGCCAATCGAGCCTTCTGTATCCGAGCTGAGATTTCGTCAGTCACCAGGCCATCAGCACTGATGAGACTCCCAAGATAAGTGAAGCGGTCTACACGTTTGACTACTTCACTCCCTATCACTAGTTCAGGTGCCGATGAAACCCAGTCCTGAGACAACGTTTTACATTTCGTGGTGGAAAACCTCATCCCGAACATGCTTGCATTGTTGCTTAGGGTAGTCAGAAGACTCTGCATTTTGTCGGCGTCTTCACCAAATAGAACTATGTCATCGGCGTATTCTAAGTCAGCAAGCGATTTTCGTGGTAGAAGGTCCACTCCTGAAAATTCAGGTTATATCTATGAGTATGTCTATGATAAACAAAGAAAGATGAGAGTGATTTTATTTCACGGATACAATGTAGAAACTATTCCAGTCTCAAAAAATTTACTGGCACAATAAATTATGTTGAGAGAAGATTTAGAATGAGATTGTATCAGTAATGACAAGGAGTTACAGAAGCTATTACTAGGAGTCTCTACATATCCAGTTACTTCATCGGGTATAAACAATAACTGATTAAGCATTTTGAAGAAAAACATCAGATAAAATTTGAGTTTTCTCTTCCATATAGGATCAAGTCCTAAGTCCTCCACTGTATAAAATTTCGATAACACCCTACCATTTATAGCTTAGGCAAAGGTTGATGAGTAAAGGATTTCGAAAGCAGATCCATCCACATTTGACAGTGTTAAGCTCAAACTTCCATTTTGAGCATCACTTAGTTAAGCTCCATACTGATGTAGTTTTACATGCTGTTCAGCTCATGAGGCGGAGTATAAATTCACTGCTTTACAATCATCAGCACATAGACAAAGCCTTACTTGTTCATATTTGTTTGACTGGTTTCTATGGTTTTTTTCCTTTTTGAATGAAAAATTCAAATAATTTCTAAATCGGCTTAATCATTATCATTCCAACTTACATATATACTACCATCTCCAGGTGAAAAGTCTGTACGGAAACGATCCACTGGTGATCAACAAGGTAGTCTTAGTATTAAAAAATAATAGTCTTCATTGATTTTTTGTACTGTATGCTATGGTTTTTCGTTTTTTTTCTTAAAAAACAAACTTGTATATACACTTTATTTCATAAAGCATGATTTTCTGTTCAACCCCTTCACCCTGTCACCTCACCTCCCTGTACGCATATCCACTCACCAGTGTATATTTTGTTATCTTTTATATGTCGTTTTGTTCAAAACCACCATTACACTACTAGTGTGGCATAAAACAACAGTTGTTGGTATGGTGGTGATGGTGTGTTCGTGGTACTCAACAGTTTGTTACGATAAATAACAATGTTCAGTATTATTTTATCAATAAATCTCGACATAGATTATCACTGTCATCATAATCATTGTGGGATATTGATTTGTGTTGTGTTCTGTTCTGTTGTGTTCTTATCTTCTGTTTCTTTTAATATGTTCCGATGGGTTCTGTTAATCTAAACATTTCACTGTTTACTACTTCGAAATATCAATGATAATAATATTTATTTCCTTTTTTTTAATCAATAAAACTTCTGTTTTGATAGGAACTAAACCTTGAATAAAATTTCTTTTTTTTCTAGGTGCTGGCGCTGTGGATGAAGATGTATTCCGACAGTCTTTTATACCATCCATGTCGATCACTGTAAGTATACTATTAGCATTACGCTGTTTATTCACTCTTATTATATGTAGGCATCTTCCGCTAAAGAACTTACCGAGATTATGAATCGTATAAAAGATACACTTTCTGGGAATCCTGAAGAATGGGAAAAACGTGTCGATGCGGTAATTTGAATTGTTTATTATTTTCCTTTTTTACTTTCCACCTTTTTTCCAAAAAAAATTAAATCAAGGGTAGATTTTATTCCAAATCAATGCCAAATCCACAATCATTAAAACAAATTTAGTAGTCGTATGCTGAAATTTTCTAGTCGTTCATTTATTCAACTTTCTAACTACAATTGACTTTCTAATGTAATATGATGCATTGCCTAGTGTCATATTCCATTCATCAATATACACAAATTTCCCTTGAATTTGTAATTTCTTGTCAAAATTTTAGGCTATGGTCCGCAATTCTAATGTAAATCACTTTGAAATCAATTAGAAATCAATTTGTCCTTATTTTAAACAACATTAGTAAACCGGATTCTGTTTTCATTTCACCATACGATTTTCTCTTTCATAATTTTTTTGATTTTCTTTTCCAGCTAAAAACATTACGTGCTATAGTTGCCAATGGTGCATTACAATATGATGAATTTTTTCCTTTATTAAAAACTTTGGAAAATTCCATAGATGTTTCCTTGCGTGATTTAAGATCGTCAGTTGTACGTGAAGCGTGTATAACAGTTGCGTAAGTTAATGCATATATTGAATTTAGAGGATTTGTTAAAAAAAAAATTATCATTAAAGTCAAAGTTTCAAATGATGTCTTATCAATGTTTTGAGAAATTCTAACTTTTTCATGAATACGGTATTTGAAAGTGGTTGAACTATTTTAGAAATTGCTTGGCAAACTTCAATATTTCCTGCGTTTAAATATTTACTGAAATATGCAGTTTGCTTTCACCAGTCTAGACATTTGCATCCTCTTACTTTTCATTGTTTGTTCACCTAATATCCATTCATCATTTAAACTTCTATGTACTTGTAGTTTAGTGGTTTGTATAATGAGTTTTCAGCTGATTGGTTATAAGCCCGGACCCTATACAATTTATCTAGGTACTTGTGAGGAACCGAATTGCATCTCACTTAATAAACCTAACGTATGACCTAGTTCAGAAATGTATGTTTTCCGTTACTGAACTACATTTCCGAGTTCTGCTTTAAAACGGCATCTAGATTTACTTATTATGTTTTATAAATAAGATAGACATGAATAACACAGTTTCAACCGCCACAATGCACATCCTCAGAGCAAAAGAGAAAGAGTAACTTGAAGAAAAACGAAGCCGTAAAAATGAGAATACACCGACCTTGATAGACAGTAATATGAATAAAATAATGCTTAGTAAAGAAATCAGGCACAAATGTATCTTAACTTTTGTTACGTAACGTTTCCATTTTCATGGAAACTAACAAGGTTGTTTGAATCGCTCGATATGTTTCAGTCCAGCAGCTATCGACTTCACAGGCTGGTGTGATGTGCCAGTCTGACCGATGTTAACCATTTTTACAACCTACTATGTGTTAGCTAGGATGGCATGTCAGGGTAAACGAAAGCTAAGTACTCACAATCTTTATCAACTATTTCAATCAAAGAAAGTTCACATCTTCATGCATCGATTCACTTTAAAGTACAAAGATCTTTAAATTATTTCATAGCATAAAATTCTTTTTTTTCACCGGATTCATTTCTTTATATTATTTCTACTTAATAACAACAGCTTTTTATCTCAAGAAATTCGTAATCGTTTTGATCGATTCGCTGAAGGTATTTTACAAACAATTATTGCGCTATTATCAAATAGCGCTAAAGTTATGGCAACTAGTGGAGTGGTTGCAATGCGATTTATCTTAGAGGTAAGTAAACGTTTTCCAAAGTTACCATCGCGTTACGCCATTTTTATTGTTATCTAGTGAAATAAAAATAAATGCTTTAGACGTTCTTTCTTCGACAAATCATTTATGGTTTGAAGTCCAAACTCATAGTTCAACTATAGCAGTGCTATCAAGAATACCCTCCTTACACGAATGTTGATTGTTGAACACTCCGGTTACTCACACATCTACTTCGAACCTAGCCTATTTACAACACAGGTTATACTGTCCGGTTGAAAGAAAAGCCTGATAAGACGTAATTGAAAGTCAGCCTCAGTAAACAGTAAAAAACGTGATTGAGTCCCCTCAAACACTTTACCGATGTCTAGAATTGCACTAGTCTTAGTTAATAGACAGCCAAGTGGAATTTCAGCCGGTATTTAATACTCATTAACGGCTATTTCTGCACAATTACACCAATGAAATGTAGCTAGTTACTTAATGCGAATCATATCAGGAATTCAACATGTATATGACAATAACAACAATTAAAGAGGTTTTTTGCATACATTTAAACCGCTGAATAAGCAACCCCGAAATTAAAAGTAGAATAGTAAGCAGAAGAGGTACTGTTTTGTGACTGTCGTACCATAAAATGTACTTGTTTAATGCCATTACTAGGGAAGCTATGTTGTTTCACTTTTGTAATTCATACAACAAAGTGAACTAATGGTTGTTTATTCATTGAAAGTATCTACTTTCAAGTTTACATTATTTTCCGTTTATTCTGTTGTTAACCAACCAAGTGGAGCAGTACTAGTCCTTATTGCTGTAATTCACTATTGAATTGTACATTAAAATATGTACCAGATCAATGAGTTACACTTTCATTGGTTGTAATTAAATGGATTACGAAGCTGTTATCGATTTCTATTAAGTTATCATTATCATCATCATCATCACTGTCCTCCTGTCAAACAGTTAATGAATAATCAATAAAAAAATATTGTGCATTTGGCATTTAAAATGAAATGGTTCAATTTGTTGGTTCACTTTTATGGAATTTTGAAATCAATATAATTTTAATATATTATAACCTTGCAAATTATTGAATTAAAACAATTAATTACAAAATAGTTACGGGAATAGTTAGGATGTATGTACATACATATGTATGTATGTATGTATGTATGTATACGTGTGTGAATGTTTGTGCTGTAGATTACAAAACAAAGGGAATAATAATAAATATACATTTGACAATGTTACTATTATTGTTGACAGCATATTGTACATAAAGTACAAATAGCTTAAACAATAGAGAAGTGAACAATTACATTGATGGAAACCAGTAGAAACAGTTTGTATGTAGGTAAATATACCTTTCGGCAAATTGTATATGTATAGGTCCTCAAAAAACCATTTTTTTTGAATTCATATATAATATGAACTTCATTGTTCCCATGTGGATAGTTACTTTAGTACGATACATGGATGGTATTCAATGGTGTACTCAATTGTTCAGGGTGTTGACCAATATAAGGTTGATCAGGAAAAAATCAGTAGTGAATAAACTGAAAAATCCCGTTTTATCATTTGCTTTGTTTGAGTGATACTGAAGTTTTAGATGTGGGGTACTAGGTTAAGATAGTGAATCGGTTGATAAAGTTTTGAATTCTCATCAACTGAAGTGGTGGAGATACATCCACAATCATCTCCTACCTCGACAGAAGCTGTAGTCCGGTTTAAGACATAGGTTGAAAGAAAGATAATGGTGACTAAACTCTGACAGGGATCCAGTTCACAAGGTTATTGACAGTGTGACTGAGCTATATAGGTAGGTGTGAACGACCTGGTTAAGCTCCACGTAATTATCGTAACCAATAGTTAGAGATTGGGTGACATGGTTCAGAATCGTTCGATTTGTCTGAAGGGGATATACCCACTTGAACTGATGCACATGCGTCAGATTCTACGTCAAGTATGATTGATTAAACTTTCGTTGTCACGCTAAAAACTACAAAGAGATGAAGCAATTGAATATTGGAATAGCATACAAAAATTTAGAATTCTGGGATTAGTTACCGTGTTTTCGTCCCCTTCCACGTTATGTGTATGATACTCTGATAGCAGATGATTACAACGCATATTCAATTATGCACCCAGGAATTAAATATGTAACCTTCAAATTAACAAACCAATTATTCTAACATAAAATTGAGTTTGTGAAAGTCTTCAATGAAAGTGACCAATTATTACATGTAGTTTCTTAATCATGATTTGTAACTGTATAGTAGTATAAAGATTACTAATAGTTTACGTACAGTAAGTAATCATACAATTTGTTGCTTAATAGATAGTCATATCAATAATAATGTTAATCGTGTAACATTTAGAATGTATTCAACAGAAATTGTCATCAATTAAGCTAATTTACACTTCACTAATAAATAAAAATGCTTATTTTGTTCTGTTTTATTTTTTCATTTCCCCAACACACAGAATACATGCTCTTCTCGTCTTCTTCCCATTCTCACTTCTTCATTATCATCCAAGTCTAATATTACCAGAAAGTGAGTTTTTTTTGATTATTTTGAATTCTATTATTATTAACAATAAGAACTAAACAGTAACTAGTTTTGTATGCAAATACAAAAAAAAATGCTATTTTAGCATATTGTTGTTAACCAGCCTAATTTAGAATTTTAATTGGTTGAATATTAGAATAAGCATCGTTTACAATATGAATAGGTAGTCATCATCAACGTTAAAGGCTTACACACATGTGTATTGGTGCAAGTCACCAGACCAGTTCAGTGCGATAAGGTGAATATGACAAGATGGAAAGCAAAAGAAATCAAACTAATGAAGAAGAAACAATGTGATATGAAAAATTGAACACACTGGGAATATGGTTTGAGGCGACAAATTAGAAAGATATGTATAAAGGGATAATGGCATTTAATATCAAGCAGGATGGTTAAGAGTGAATGTATCTGCGCCATTTTGACCCGTAACAACCCATACCGCCTAAAGTTTGTACACAACTAACTGATTGTGGTTATCATGCCGGACATCTACATGACCTTCGTCCAATAGTCGGTAACTTCATGAACTGATCCGATGATCTCTCAAATATGTGAATAAATTTTTCTAGATGTAACTATGAGTGTTCGTTCATCTTACAAAATGTTTCCATTGATATTTATTTAGTATCTGCTTGTGGTTATTGAATGAATCATCACTTTATCGTCAAAAATGAGTGTATAATAATTGTAGGCAATCTATCAATGGTGATTTCTAATTGTAGTTGAGATGTCAAATGGAAAATAACACTTTATCAATTCATTCGTATAAGGCGGTAGCGTAGTTATACTACAGGATAATAAGTATGGCATCTTAATATTGTCACGTATTTTGAACTAATCTCTCTGTTAAGGTTATTTATATGATGATGATAATTCCTCTTGATTCAGTCAGTTGCAACGTGTAACTGCGTACGTATGTACATAAGTTCATGTTGCCATACCTCATTAGCACAAAGACGCAGATGTCAAATCAAATCCCATAGTGATAAAGATAGTAGAGGTATTAATGGTAATGAAGAAGACTAGGGTTCGAAGGTATTATTCAAGAAGTATAATTAAGTGAAATAAGGTTAGAAAGACAAAGGTACAGGTGCTGACGAATCCAGAAGATTAGGATTTGAGAGAGCTCAAAGGATGGATGCACTTGCGCCATTGCAAACGATTTTAAGCCATGTCGTTCAAGGTCTCTAACCATTGGTGACTTTTGTCTCGCGGACCCCAATCAGGTAGTCTACATCTACCAACATGACTCAGTCCACTAGTCAGTGGCTTCATGGATTTGTGCCATGTTTTGGTCTGGCCGCCCCTAACTTTCTTCCAACCTACTCTTGATTGAATGAATTCTGCTGGGTGTTTATCTCTCAACTGGGTAAATAACCAATAATGCTCTCGTTTCTATTTCATTTTTGAGTAGTTTTAATGATGAGTAACACGGAAGTTTTAGGTTGTAAAGACTCAAACCAATGTAATACGAATAGAAACTTCTAAAATATCTTGCCAAATACTCCGCTTTGAATTGTTACCTTTTGGGTGTGAAGGCTAATGATACTACTATTCGACTGCTCAAACCAAAGTGGTAGCTGGAGCGGAGTTGTAGCTGAGGACCTATCATTTGGAAGTAGGATTCTTTATCCAATATGTGGTTTCTCTGGTTCTGCACTGTTGTTGTTGTTAAAAAAATATCTAGTAGTTAATCTGAAGATACGCACTTTGTGATATTCGGTATTAGTACGCTAGATGATTGTACTTCCATCCTTATATTGGTGTTTTTACAAGAAAATCCAAATTTCAATACCGATCAGTTCAAACATCAAAGGGTTATACTCCAAGCTACTAGATTACAATAACATTATGCATATATTTGTAGTCCTCTTGTGTAAATCAACTCTGATCATGTCGCAAATAATTCGGCAATCGCATCATGGATTCTATTTTATGTTGTTGTTCACAGTGTAAGTAAATTATAAGTCCAGGCAATTTCGAGGCAGTCGTTCCAAGGACTTCCATATTGCAACAGAGACTGTTGATTTTATCCGGAACGAACGAAACCACCACAAAGATCCTTGATACTCGCTTATATTGTCTATAATTACTCTAATCGTAATCAGATCAGTTTGTTGTTTGTGAATATGGTTTTGAATCCAAATTGGATATAATCATAAACAAACATTTGGTGTCTTTCTTATCTGTTTTTCTTGTAGATGCATTTGTGAATTCTTAGAAATCATTTTTCGAACTTGGCCGGTAAATATTCTTGAAAAAAATCTCCCTGTATTACAAGATGCATTAAAACGAGGTATTTCAGATGCAGATCAAGAGGCTCGATTGTTTTCTCGACGGTAAGTTAAATGACCAAAAAAAAACAAGATGCATGTTTCTAATAGTTCTTCTGTTCTTTACAATTGATTTGTAAGTTGGCTGAACTTATTCATAATGGATAAGTCTTCACAACAATTTTAGTAAATATTCTCAGTCACTAGGTTACGAAATGAACTTTTAGTGGAAATACTATTACTTTCTGAAAAGAATTTTAAATTCAATAGAATCCTAAAGTGAATTCATGGGATTAATTATATAGCAAAATCATCATGTCGTAACCTTTTCTTTGTTAGTTACTGAAGCCTAATAAATTCTTAGAACAGGCTGTATCGATAAGAAAAACCCTGATGTGTAACCGACTTTAAATAAATATTGCTTGAGCTATACGGTTACACTAAATCATAACTTTCGAGTATTTCAAAAAATAAATTGTGTTATCTTACACGGTTTCCAATAACCGATGGACATTGTTAACACATGCACACTTTGAACAACCCACAAATTGACGATCAGAATAGTATCAACAATTCTTACACATTCAACGTACATTATCATCATTCTCATGTAGCTTTTATTCAATGCATTTTTCCAATTCCTACTTTATCTAGTCAATATCTTAATCTTTTTTTGACTTATGTACTTGGATTATAAAGTTTTGAAGATTGTTTAGTTACTGTAAAGTCATGAATCAATCAATGTTAGACCACTATTAAAAATCTGGAAGTACTGAACGACCGTTTCGTACTGGTATAGGACTCATCAGCAGTGCACATCCACGACTCCTGGTGATCGCAGGATTGGAACTCAGGAGCGTACGCGCTAACCTTTAACCTCTGGACCAGTGGGCCGGTATCCGAGGTGTTCACGAAGGTCATGACTTTTCCCTAGAACACGGAAAAACTTCCTGCTAATGAGTCCCATGCCAAGACGATACGGCCTTCCAATACTTCCAGGTTTATAATGGTAGTCTTATGTTGATCGATTCATGATTTGACAGTGATATACTTGTGAATGATGACTACCAATGTTATCTGATTTAGCAGTTTATTTAATAGTAAACAAAAATCTAATGATTGGCACAGATAGATCAAATTTTAACTGACATTCAAAGCGTGTAGTAATTGATATCTAGAGATTATTATCCTAATTTATTCGCAGCGGTAATTAATAGACAGTCTATTGATCAATATTTATCAACGAAGTTACAAATATTGTTTTTTTTGTAAATCATGATTACTGACAGGCTTTATTTCTTCCAAACACCTTAGAATTATATGCTTGCTATCAGTGTGTCACTCACTTTTCACCAACTATCTACCTTAATGTTCGCATTTAATTAATCCGAAAAAAATTTCGTTGCTGTTTAATTGCTTGAGGAAAACATTACTTGCATCATCGTATCTAACGTCCAGTGTTGTACAACGATACATTACTACGGATATTTTTCAGAAATAATATGTAATTCAATGTTTAGAGTACAAAATTGATTTTTTTTTTCCAACTTCATTAACAATTGGATACGCTCGTATGAATTTTTTTTTTAAAAAAAATTTAGCTATTCATTACATATGATTGGATTGCATTATAGTTTATCGACTAATAGTTCTCAAATTTTCAGTTATCATTTTATTTCTCTCATACGTTCTAATTCAAAATCCTCCTTGCTTATTTTTTTTTTGCCTCTTTTTTTTTACTTTCAACTTAGTTCATTCCCATTATTTGTTGCTAAATTTCCGGAACAAGCAAATTTATTTCTACAAAATCTTGATGTACAAAAACGTAAACTAATTGAAAAAGATTTAATTGCTGCAGGTTTATCCGATGATATTAGTGCCGGGGATACTAGTACAACTGGATCATCAAGGAATCAGTCTAGTAATAATAGTATTAGTAGTAGTCAGTCGAATCCACTTTATCAAAGTACACGTAGACCAAATCGACCTGTACTAGGTACTAGTTCATTAGCCAATAATACAAATCGTAATCGTCCACCATTGACCAGTCAAAATGAATATAATACCGGTAAGGATTGATTATTTTATCAGTTTGTTGTTTGTTTTCTGTGATGTAAAATAATTTATTATTCATTATTTTGAAAGAGTTAATAAATTTTCATGCATATTCTTTGTGTATACTGAATAAAATTCTTTAGTGAATTAATTGTGCTAAATCATTTTAAAGTTTCTTTATTCAGTTAATGCCATTAGCTTGTCTACAATCAATTATATTCGGTTAAGTAGTGTTTCAACACTATATTTGCCCAAGTACATGTACGTAGTTGAATACCTCCCATATTGGTTAATATTGAATTGTATCTGACAATGGATGATTATTTCTTCACTTATCATACAGTGTAATTACTAATAAGTAGAACATCCTGGGATTCCACTTGTCAGTGTTTTTATCACTGATTACCATGGGGGAGGTAGAATAAGAAACAGTAAAGATCAGTGTATAATCTCACAACATTCCATCACTTCAAATCTGACAGTTCCTAGACAATTGTGTAAAAAAGTCAACACTCATAATAATGCCTATGAATAAGTAATATGAAGATGAACAAAGGTGAAATAATGCAAAGCCCAAGCTTAAAATAGCGTTATCTGTAGACCAATCGATGGGAAACTCTGAATGTAGACTCTTCACTTGTTACTATTCATTATTAACCAATGCCTATTTTTAATTACTATTTATTTAAAGATTACAACCGTTTTTGTCAGCCCTTGGTACAAAGAATTTTGTTTGACACAGATATATTTTTGTTTAAACGTTCTAATCAACTTATGAGTTGTCAGTATCTAAAGTCATTCTCAAAAAATCTGCTGTCATTTTTACAACTTAATTTCCTTATTCGTACATTTCTTCTCAGTTGGTCGGTATTTCCGTCAACGATCAATAGCTTCAAATTATGACGGTCGTCCACGTCCAACTGGTGGGAAAATTATATCACAATCACAGCGTAAGTTTCGATTGCATTATGACACTGTTATCATAATAAAACAATTACCTTAATTCATTTATGTATACGAAATAATTATTGTAGTCGACCAGTATGAACTTCAAGATTTAGTTTAAAACGTTAATTGATTTTATTTAACTCCTGTCTAAAACCTGGGAAAAGCTAAATGTCGCACTAAAATATTTAAAAGTTGATGTGAAACCTCTTTTATTCTTTTCCTCATTCACTATTATTGACATATTTGTTGAGCTCTGCCATTTGTACTTCAGAAAATCTTTCGATTGATTTTCTTTCTATTGTTTTCAGTTTTCAACATGTGATTTCAAATTGCTTACGATTAAGATTCATTCTTGTTTTGCAAGTTAGTGGTAATCTGAATTTAATAGCTAAGCGGATACTGCAACTACCTTTGAAGCGTTAGATACTGAATTCGGACTTTGGTGTAAACGCCGACACTGGGTTACACGTACATACCTTCTATGTGTCTGAAATAGGACAAAACGTGCATCCTAGATTTCACCGCTAGCTAAAATCCACCTTAAAAATGTTAAAAGTGTCTGCGTCAAGACAATTTACTCTCAGGATATACATATTTTAACAAAGACTTTGTGTTTCTCATGAAATTATCTTTATTAAATTGTTGTGTTGTACCGGTCTCATTTTAATTCCTGCCAATCTCATTAACTAGCCAGTAAGATTTTAGCTCTAAAATAATATAAATGTCTTCAAACAGTCTGATTTTAATACATATATACTGCTGTGATTATAGTGTGTAGAATACTTGACTGTTATGAGATTTGGAATTTCAATACCATCACATGTACTTTGGTGTATTCACCCAAGCAGTCTGTTTAACTCTTGTGAAAAGTCAGTAAACTGTCCATTTTCATATTTTAGGATCTCTAATACTAAATCGCTATTTCTAAAATAGACATTAGGAAGTATTATTGATGGGACCGAGAATGATATTATGTCGATATGGGAAACGTTTAGCTCATTTGAATATGCTACTAAAAACATGAAAATGAATAACTGTCTTTTGCTAAGTCATATGTGAACATAACTACAATAGTTCAGTACAATACGAATACCCTGATATGGCCAAGAATAGAGAGAGTTCTCTCTCCCTCTCGAAATGCTCTCATATGGCCACGCATGTATAGCCAATGCCAGGGAAGTCTTACCCAACTACCTTCTTTAGGCACAGGTGTTGTTCACAAAATTCAAAGGATCAAAAGCAAATCTTCGGTCACGGTTTAAATTGGTGTGGTAGACATGAAGGATCTATCTAAGAAAGTTGAAAAACCTTGATTTCTAACCAATACCAATGGTGCACTCATGCTTCATGCGTATGCATCGATTGTTGGTTACAGGCTACCATGGGATTGCATCTGCTGACGCTGTCGCACTGTTTTATGGATTAGACCTTTAGGTCAAAAGCTCTAGAAGTAGTGGCCTGTATGTAAAACACCTGCTTGGATTTGGCATCTAGACAAGTATCCCAACTTACTCAAAAATCCAATAATTTGTGTGATGCATATATATATGTAGCTGTCTCTTTGTATCAATAACAATGTAAATGAATGAATAAATAAATCACCTATCGATACTTAATCGATTAACAATATATATGAGACATGAGAGAGGAATTATCTTTAGATACAGGTAAATAAGTTAAAAGAACTGAAACTTTGAGAACTACTCTCTGGTGAATTATTGTGTTCAGTTTTATCAGGTACTTCTTACTGAACATTTGGTTTTATGTTTTCTAAATCCTTGGTCGTTATTTAAGCCATTGACTGATATATCGTTTGTCGTTCATAAATTACAGTTAATTGATTATGTACTTTTTAGTCAGCTTAGTACTCAAAATGATCTAATCACGTACAGATTGTGATATTTTTTTATCTGTGGTCCTCTATGATCTTGTAATCGATGTAAGGTTTTGAGTCAAGTAAAGAGAAGGTAAATCATCAGTTTGTTGTCGTCATGTTCTAATTGGTCACTTGCAAATCTGCATAAGCCAATGACAATTAAGGTATCGGGTAGTTCTTTGTAGTTATCGATAGTATTAGCTAGGCTAAAGTCACTTGTATGATCGCTTTTAAATAAACTTGGCATTAATATTAGGTTTAATAATTCAATGATCTTATTATTAAGTGGTCATATAAAAGTTCAAATCATAACAGCCAATAATGAAAAGTCATTATTATTTTTTATTTATTGAAATTAAAATCATTTTCAATAAGATAATATCTAACTCATAAATAACATATTTTTGCCTTTGGTACTGTTTATTTAGTTTTTATTATCTAAGAGCATGATTATCTTTCTGTTTATTGTAAAATAATAATAAATTTTTTCTATTCAATTGTAAGTTCATCTAAAAGCCGATCACAACAAATGAATAATGATCATCAGTATGTGATTGGCTTTTGCTAACTTGCGTCACTGATGGCTTAGGCGATGTTTCCGTCTGCTGACTAAAAGAGGAGTCTTCTGCGCAGTAGTTCACTCCGTCCTGCACTATGGATGTGAAATATGGCCAGTAAGAGTAGAGGATGTTCGTAGGTTACTAGTATTTGATTATAGGTCTCGAAAAATTGCTCGTAACAATCGAGTAAGCAATGCTGTTGTTAGGAAACGGGTGCTAGGTAAGGATGGCAGATCAATAGATGAAGTAGTGAAACTTCATCAGTTGAGGTGGTTAGGACATGTGTTGCGTATGCCTAACCACCAGCTGCCTCGACGAGCTATGTTTTATGGTGTAGGGGTAGGCTGGAAGAGAGCTAGGGGCGGCCAGACCGAAACATGTCACAAATCCTTGAAGTCACACTGACAAGTGGACTGAGTCATGTCGGTAGTTGTCGACTACCTGGTTGGGGTCCGCGAGATGATAGTAATCGATGGTTAGAGACTTTGAATGACATGGCTCAAAATTGTTTGCAATGGCGCAGGTGCATTCATTCTTTGTGTTCTCTCAAATTCTAATCTTCAGAGTCCCTCATCAACTTTGTCTTTCTCTTTTTAAATTAATTTCACTGGATTATACTTCTTCAATAATTTCTTCGAACCCTAATCTTCTTCATTATTTCTAATACTTCTGCTACATCTACCACTATGTGATTTGTATTGATAGTGACATCTGTGTTAATTTAGTATGGCAACATGCACTTATGCATAGGTACATACGAAATTCTACGTTGTAACTGACTGACTGTATATGATCAGAAATCTTGTTCTACTAACGAAATTCAGGAAATCGTCAAATTCTTTACCTAAATAAGTTCAAGAAACAGCATATTAATAGAATAACAATTCTTGGAACTAACGAACATGATACAGTACTAACAACGACTGTTACTATTGCTTACATCAAATGATATTTCAGTATTTAGAGGCAATCTAGTTTTGATTTCACTGTTTTCCAGATATTTTCATCAATCGTTATTTATTTATTCATTTAAAGAAGTACCAGTTACACTTGTTTTATCCTTACCCCAATTTATCCTACTAGATAACATTCCGTTTTCTAATTCTTTCAATATATTTTTTATTTAGCTACAAGTCGTGAAGTTTCACCATCACGTCTAGCCTATTTCGCTGCCTATGGTAATGCTGCACCTAATAATAATGATACACAAAAATTACAATTCAATACAGCTAACACTAGTCGTAATGGTACAGTAGGATTGGTGGATAGTAATAATGCTAATACTACTACTACTACCACTGGACGTATTACACGTGTAGGCATGAATTCACGTGTTCCACGTAGTCAAGGTGCTAGTCGAGAAGCATCGCCTACAAGATCTACTGCAAGCGGTTATGCTGGACCTCCATATCAGTCTAATAATAGTTTTCAATTATCCGGCACAGGTCAAATTGGACAAATGAGTTATCGGCGACAACAACAACAAAGACGTGAGTGTTTTTTGGTTGTTTTTTTTAACGACATTCACATATCTCCTCCGTTGTTAATTAATATTGTTTTTTTCATTTACTGTTTTCACTTTCATCCTAAAACATTTTTGATTTTAGTTCTCTCTTACAAACTAAACCGAAGTGTTCTTCAACTAGTTAACAAAATCCAGTAAAAAAAATCGCACAAGTCTATCTTACTGGCTGGTTGATAATATTTTTGACTGATCCTGACTTATACATTGTACAACTTTATATCTCATCTAGTAGTCTTTCAGTTTTTTGTTCGAAACTCTATGATGGTACTTGTTTACAGCTGTTACCCCCAATGAAGCATAGGCCTCCGAGCAGTATTCTCCAACCCTCTCTGTCCTGGGCTCGCCTTTTCAGTTCCGTCCAATTTTCGTTCATCTTATGTCTCTGCATTTCTCAGCGTAATATGTTTCTTGGCCTTCTATACTGGTACTTTTCGTTTAATTATTTTCAAATTTGTAAATCATATTAGGCGTTTGACGCTCGCTACCTAACTTCACAATTTCAGATACTACTACTAAACTGTTGATGATTCGACTGACCTTCTCTATGAATGAGATATCTAAAGAGGAACTTCATCGTCAATTGGAGAACTATCGAAACTCAGCATGCATTACTCCTAGTCAAAAATTCCTTCATCAAAAAGCTCTCCACTAACATTATTCCTCGATTTATCATTCTACCATGAACTTGTGACCAAAAATCATCTTTAGAAATTATCCACATTCGTTACAAAACTACCGCAATAATTTTGTCTACTTACTCCTTATGTTTGATGATCATGCATGAAATGGATGATTATTCTTCTCTAAACAAGGTTTCATGTTATCTGATTCTGTTTTTCTAATCTTTAAATTACGTGTAAGGATAGGTTGGGAAATAGCTAGGAACGACCAAACCAAAAGTTGGCATCAATCCATAAAGTCACTTACAGTTGGATTGAGCCACGTCAGTAACGTGGTGAATACCACCTGGCTGGCTTCACGATTTTCGTAACCAGCGGTTGGAGACTTCAGATGACATAGCTAAAAATCATTCACCATAGCGGAGGTGTATACACTCTTTCTCACCATAGATTCGAAGTTTCTAAATGTTCTTAAACATCGTTCTTCATTCCACATACCCATAATTTCTTATGTAATCATATTATCTATGCCTAACCTTTTCTTCTATCACTACTACTGTAATTCAATAATAAACTGTCTCAATATAGTTAATGAGGTGGTGTTTTTCTTGAAAGGAATAAAATACCTTCCATAGGTCTATGTTTAATCATTGATTTTGTCTGTCCCTTTTATTTACTATTACTTTTAAAAACTCTATATACATTACCGAGAATGAGGTTGATTTTTAGACAGTTAAACTACTCATTGATCACTACTGACTAGTCAATTTCAATACTGGAATGCGTGTTCATTGGTAATTGTAGATCTGTTCTATTCACACGCGACAACTATTGACGTAATTTAACTATTAAGATGAGGATCTGTTGTCGAATTTCTTCCCTGTAATGATAATAATGATGATGATCTTACTCGTTTGCCAAGTACAACTTCTTCATGTGGCTGTTTTTGACGTAATTCAGTTGCATAAAAGTAGGAAGATGTCTTTATTGTCACGTCAGTACCATTCTAATGTTGCTTTTCCATTCAATATTTGTTCTCGCTGTACATGACAACTAATTGTAGATATAGGTTCTCTTTTTCGCCTTAACGTTATATATCTTCAACGTTTTTAGTCAACAGAAGCTTGTTGTTTACTGTTTTTAAGTTCTTAACGCTACAATATTTGAATAAATCGAGTTTTATAATATAAAAAACAACTCATAATATTTATTCTCTTTCTTTTTGTTGGGGGCTGGGCTGTATTTTCTACAGCATCTCTTGGTACTCTAAGTGATTGTGCAGATCTTGGCGATGGAGTAAGTGCTTATAATTATTACTACTATTCCAATTGATAATAATCTTATTCATTTTGAGTCTGAATTGAATTGACAATTGCATCTCTGTGCTAATGTGGTATGACAACTTGAACTTGATGTACGTACGTTCATCAAGTTCTACGTTGCTGTTGATTAACTGACTGAACGTGATAACTTATACATTTACTGATTGGTAGATATTGTTTATCTGTTTTCAAGCACCGATTACGGTGTGCATAGATTACTTAGCCATTTGTCAATCATTTATACACAGTATGTCATATGTACAATGAATGATATTACCAATATTATTATTATTATTATTATGAATGTGATTTTCTTTATTTAAAGAAAAATAATGCTAATATTTCTATATAACCATTTCATATCAAAATTGTTGATCATATGACACCGAATGTTAATAGAATATTTTGTTATGCACTTTGAAATATATATATATATATATATACCCGTTTTCACCAAAAGATATCACTACAATTGTAGTTGCTGACAATCATCGATACAATAAGCATAGTTTTTTAACGTGTCAAATCGAGTTATGAAAATCACGCTAGCGATATGGAATTGTTTCATTGAATAATTATCAAAAAGACAAAACGAACCCAGTGAATAAAAGTGAACTATACACGTTTCCTTCTTATACATGATACATTTTACACACAAAAATAAGCTCGACTTGAATATTAATTCAATCACATAAACATTGTTAGAATGAAACACTTAAATATTCGCATTACGGGGTTGTGAAGGTTGTTAAGTTACAAATTTTTGAAACCATGAATCGATCAATGTTAGACCATCATTAGAAACCTGGAAGCACTGGATGGCCGTTTCATCCTAGTATGAGACTCCTCAGCAGTGCGCATCCATGTTCGTCCGCCTACTATACCGAAGGTTCTGGGTTCGAATCCTGCGGGGTGCAGGAGTCTTGGATGCGCACTGTCGAGGAGTCCCATACCAGGACGAAACGGCCGTCCAGCGCTTCCAGGTTTCTAATGGTGGTCTAACATTGATCGATTCATGGTTTACAAAAATGTGTAACTTGGTTAGTAGATTGTATTGAATACTCTATAATAAACCTGTGTTTTCACTAGTAGAAACATTGCAATGTTATTATGATTTTATTGAAATTGGAGCTTCCATCATCTAGAGGAGCTTCATATCTCTTCTCTAATTTTGTTTACATGGTATGTGGATACTCCTTACTTACTATGTTTTATCTAATTCAGGTCTCTTATTATAACTTACTATTCTGTTTTGATAAAAAAAAACAAATCATTTTATTCTCCTGCGGAAATTTAACTAAAGATAGCTAATATATATATATATATATATATATATATACAAGATTTTCTAAAATAGTTACCACTCTCTTTCCTAAGTTGAACATATTTTATCGAATCAAGCGAAAGTATTTTCTTTTTGTATTTTCGAAGGATTGTTTTGTATAACAGTGTATATTTTTCACTTTAATGATGCAAAGCACCAGTTGAATTCGATCATCACGTGTACTGATCGTTCTAATTGCTGGACATTGATTTCATGCTTTCCCGATGGTGTAGTAAAGATTGAATAGAATATCAGCATAGCTTGCTTGACTAAATTTAATATTTTTGTTCATGTGCTGTACAATTAGCTACCCTCGATGTGAATTAATTATCAATGAGAGTTTGGTTACGCATTGTCTCTATTATTTTATTATCTTATTCAGCCTTTATATGGTCGACATTATTCAGTCGGTAACAGTCGTGGCCCATACGGTTCAGATGATAATTTCAGTGAAACATCCTCTCAATGTTCTGAACGTTCTGGTCGTTCAGTACCTGGATATCGGCGCCAATCTTCGGGTAAAGTGACTCGTGTAAGTTTTTTTTTTAAACACATTTCTGCAGCCACTGAGTGAAGTTAAACACGTTGTCAGGGAAAGATGGAAAGTTGATTGAATGAGGTCGTAAATCTTCATCGACTTAGGTCGTGTTAACATGCGCTACGTATGTGTAACCGCTGTCTATCTCTACAGGTGGTTCTTTCTGGTATAGGCATAGGTTGGAAAAAGTTGGGGGCAGCCAAGCCAAGATATGGCATCAGTCCACAGAGCCATTGTCTGTTGGTCTTAGTCATGTTGGTGTATGTAGACTACTCACAGTTGAAGTCCGCACGATATAACTACAATCGATAGTTGGAGACTTTAAATGATGAAGCGCAAAATTAGTCTAAATGGCACAGATGAATTCATGCCTTAGCTTCTCGACTTTAAATTCCAATGTTCAGTCTTTTGTTATCGTTTCTTCTGTATTATTCAATCTTGTAGTAAGCAATATGTTCTTAGATTTCGTAATTTACTCATTCAAACAATTGTTACTAAATAACGCCTGACGGTTTATAATTCAGAAGGTAAACACGAAGGGTTGAATACGTTTATTTTCGCGCACCATAAATATAACAGCAGACTACAGGCATGCAAGGATGAAATTGATCTGCGATTGCCGGAAGGCAAGCAAACAAGCGAATTGGCGAGTGAGCGAATCGGCGAATAAATTAATTAGATCAAAATGTTCATATATATATATATATATATATATATATATATATATATATACAAATGTCGAAATATTTAAGAGAATAAAATGAAAGCGAATAGGATGAATATGCGTGTAGGCGTTAGGCAATGTTCAGTCGTACCAGTTCATAGAAACCAGACAATAATAAAAGCCAATGGTACATATAAGTTATTGTTAAACAAATAGCTTGGTTAAATAAATTAGTCGAAAGTTTTAACCAAATTAAATGTAAGCGAACTCAAATATATTTAGAGGCACTACAATCTCTGTTTTCGCTCATCCTGGTTGTGCTTATGTGGTTCTGGTCTAGTAATTTGTAATAACGCACATCTTTATCAGCGTCTACGTTGACTATAAATGACTAAAACTTAATAACATATTTACCAATAAGAATATGAGTTCACTCAACACAAAAGTTGGTACGGAAGGACACCTAAGTATATATATCCCGGGTACCAAAACCGAAGTAGCTGGTTTATATAGGAGACCACTTCTCGAGCCTTTGACCTACATGTCTAATCCACAAAGCAGCGCAGCAATGTCAGCGAAATGCGATTCCATGGTAGCCTGTAACCAACAATAGATTCATACGCTATTCGTTCTCTCAGAATCATGGAGCCTGAGTGCACCATTGGTATTGGTTATAAATCAGAGTTTTCCAACCAAATATTAACCCTAGTCGGACATTTGCTTTTAGTCCTCTTAATTTTGTAAACAACACCTTTGCCACGAGAAGGCATTGAGTAATAAACTTCCCTGGCAAGTATACATTACCTGGTCGCCCAAATTGTAGTAAGCAACCTGGAGATCTAATCTGCAACTATGACAAACAGTGTGTATCGGAAGATATAACGCATTTCACTTGTACCGCTTATAATTGTAAATGCAGTCAAACAGATTTATTCTTACTCTATTTTTATTCTAAATATTCAAAACTATATTTTAAGCGTTTGTGTAATAATTTCTGTCTAGACTAGCTCAATGTTTTTATCGTTTCGAATTATTTTTCTGGTAATTTATTTTTAGTCCGTTCGTTTGTCAAATTTGTTCTCTGATTACGTTGTCTCTACTGTTCAATCTAGGCTCCATAACAAAATCCATTTATCTATTATTTGTCTATATGTACAGTGAGAAAAGCTTATAAGTGATCTTTCTTTTATTGTCACCATCAAGTTACTTAGATAAATAAAAATTTTCTTTTCTCGGTGCCATAAATTATACAATCTTGGTTCGTTCATCTCTGTTTCGGGTAGCTAAAAACCTGTTCAAAATCCTCCTGCGTGTGTGTGTGTACGTGTTTATTTATGTGCGCTTATTTATGTTTCATACTTGGCTCTCCTTTTTTTTCTCTAAATGCTTTATAAAATCATTTTTCTATGATTTACAAAAAACTTATCTTCAAATAAATGATAATATCATTTCCAGGGAAATTTCAACTCTCTCTTTTATTATTATTCTGATTTGAAATGTATCGATTCCCTTTTATCATATAGACAGACAGATACAACGTAGAACTTCGTACATAAGTACACCAGTTCCGGTTGCCATACCACGCCAGCACAGAGACGTAACTGTCAGTTCAAATACAAGAGTGATGGCGATAGTAGAAGTATTAGCAGTGATGGAAAAGATTAGGGAGCGAATATATGATTCAAAAAGTATAATCCAGTGAGATAAAATTAGAAGGAGAAGGATAGAGATTATGAGGAATTCAGAAGGCTAGAAAAGCACAAAAAGAGTGGATGCACCTGCGCCATTGCAAACGATTCTGAGTCATGTCGTTCAGGGTCTCTAACCATTGGCGACTTTCGTCTCGCGGACCCCAACCAGGCAGCCTAAATTTACCAACATGACTCAGTCCACTTGTCAGTGACTTCATGGATTTCTGCCATGTTTTGGTTTGGCCGCTCCTAACTTTCTTCCAACCTACTCGTACACCACAAAACAGCTCGACGAGGCAGTCGGTGGTTAGGCATACGCAACACATTTCCTAACCACCTCAACTGATGGAGTTTCACTACTTCATCTATTGATCTGCCATCCTTAACTAGCACTCGTTTCCTAATAACAGCGTTGATCACTCGGTTGTCCCAAGATGCACGAGTGATGCTTTGAAGACATCTATGATCGAGAATCAGTAACCTACGAAAGTCCTCTACTCTTAACGGCCATGTTTCGCATCCGTATAGTAGGACAGAGCGAACTACTGCACCGTACACTCGTCCTTTAGTCAGCAAACGGATATCTCGCCTACGCCATAAGTGACGCAGGTTGGCAAAAGCCAATCGAGCCTTCTGTATCCGTGCCGAGATTTCGTCAGTCACCAGGCCATCAGCACTGATGAGACTCCCAAGATAAGTGAAGCGGTCTACATGTTCAATTACTTGACTCCCTATCACTAGTTCAGTTGCCGATGAAACCCAGTCCTGAGACAATATTTTGCATTTCGAGGGGGAAATTCGCATCGCGAACATGCTTGTGTTGTTGCTTAGGGTAATCAGAAGACTCTGCATTTTGTCAGTGTCTTCACCAAGTAGAACTATGTTATCGGCGTATTCTAAGTCGATAAGCGTTGTATATAAATGTGAATGCAATGTCTTCTACGAGTAAAGTTCTCCTGCACTTTGATCAATAATTAAGCTGTAGATATGAAATCGTTTTTTCTTTTCATTTGTTTATAATAAGTATCATTCAGTTAGGTAAGTGTTCACAACAGTCAAGCTCAGTAACCATATCAGAGCAGCACCGATAATCGTGTTACTATATTCGATTGTATACTTAATTGTATTTGTAACCTCACTTTTGAACTCTTTGATCTGTGTCACTATGCATTCTCTATCATTATTATTACTATCCAACTTTCAGTAGACATTTCGTCTCTGATTATTCAAGAATTCTAAAAAAAGGTCCAAAAAAATTTATTCAAACTACTCTTAAGGTTCTTTTTTGTAAAAAAAGACTGATTTTATGAAATGTAAGAAGTAAATGATAGCATCACAGAAGAAAGTCAAATATTCTGATAAAATTCAATCAGAGTAGTAAATCAACACAAAATGAAACACCGAATAAACAACTGAATTCATGAACAGTAGTGTAATGTAAACAGTCTGATCAAGATTTTTACTTTCAACTTGTCACTGACAAGTGGACTGACCCGTGTAGCCTACCTGATTGGGGTTCGCTAGATTTTAGTGATCGATGGTTAGAAATCCTGAATGACACGAAGGTGCATGCTTTCTTTGTGTTGTCTCAAATCCTATTCCTCTGGATTCTTCATCACCCCCATATCTTTCTTTTTAAGTTTATTTCACTAGTTTGTGCTTCTTTAATAATACCTTTGAACCCTAGTCGGGTTACGGGTACGAAGGCGGTTGTCACTTCCTGGTTGCCCACACCGTGGAAGGCTAGGTCGTTAGGAAACAAGTTCTAGGGATGGCAAATCAATAGATGAAGTAGTGAAACTTCATCAGTTGAGGTGGCTGGGACGTGTTACGTATGCCTAACCGCCAAACACCTCGTCGAGCTATACTTTGAGATGTAGCAATAGGTTTAAAAAAGCTAGGGGTGGTCAAACCAAAACATCGCAGAAATGCATAAAGTCGCTGATAAATGGACTGAGTCATGTTGGCTACCTCCTGGTTGCTTCCGCGAGACGAAAGTCATCAGTGGTTAGAGACCTTGAACGACATGGCTCAGAATCGTTTGCAATATCTTTGCTCCCTAATCTTCTCCATCACTGCTAATACTTTTACTATCGCTATCACTCTTGTATTTGAACTGATAGTTACGTCTCTATGCTGTTGTGGTATGACAACCTCAACTGATGTACTTATGTACGAAGTTCTGCGTTGTATCTGTCTGTCTGTCTTGAACCCTGATCATTCCGATTACTGTTAATACTTCTATTACCTGTACTACTATGGGATTTAAATTGATAATTGCGTCTTTGTGCAAATGTTGCATGGCAACTTGAACTGATGTACGTACGTGTGAAGTTCTACGTTGTTGTTGATCGATCGAATACAGTTTCATTTGTATTGTTATTGATAGATGAATGACTTTCAATGGTATTATATTATGGTTATTTGTTTTGAAAACATGTTTTATAATGACAATTTCTATAGTCCATATGATTAAAGATTTTACAGTCATATGCATAATTGCATAAATCTAATCACTCTGATATATAGAGTAGGCGTGGCTTGGTAATAACGGACATGTGATTGTATGTATATAGTGTATTTAATTTTCTCTAAGCATATTATTATGATGTAAATGAATATTCATAGTGTTAATTTTTGTAATATTCTTTTAATAGAATTTAAAAGAAATCATTTCTCAACTTCAAGCTGATCAATGGTCTGATAGAAAAGATGGTTTAACAAATTTACAAAATTATATGCGTTCTGGTTATCCTTTAAAGTGAGTTTTTTAACTATCATATTTTTTGTGACTGTTTCATACTAACAACGTTTGCCTTGCTTGATTAATAAGATATTAGGAAGAAAAGAAAATTAGTACACTTAAATGTGTGTTGAGATATCCAATATCCTAAAAGAATTATTTGTAAATCTAATTCTATTGGTCAATTCCTATTGGTAGTCCTAACTATCACTGTCACATACTTCAAATGTTGTTTCCTATTCGACCTAACTGTATAAATACGCATAATCTGTAACGTTTTATGACCTGGACCCGCCTCCCTAGTCCGGGATCCTAATTCTCTTCTGGATGCTTGTAGAATACATGTTCTACTTCATAGCAAGTCTTCGTGTTTTACTCAATAGGGGTTTTGGACGCTCCGATTAGATTAGCCTGTCGTGTCGCCGGATCCTCGATCCTCGCTCTCGTTTTCCGACTAAGGTAAACTCGTAATAGTTCAAGTATATCAAGTGACGTTTTTACGTGTATGCGTAACAATGTGTCAAATCATTTCTTTGTTGTTTTGCTAAAACAGATCAATGATAATTTTAATCAGCATTGAAAAACCTTCAATTTTAACTGCCGTTTAGTACTTAGTGATTTGTTATTTATACTTTTACACAGATTTCTGTTGTTGACAAGGTTTCTTTCTTACCTTTTTCTTCAAGTAAATATTCGTAATCGATTTTCCAAGACTTCAAAGCTTTAATTGTCGAATATATAAATATCAACTCTTCAGTACTTCTTACAAACATTTTTCTTGTTTTCTAACCTTGTGATGAATTTTCTTGACAGGTGGAACTTGCTGCTGGCTAGTGATTTCTACTTGTCGTAACAATAAATTAATAATTTGTACGAACTTAGGAGTAAGTTGGAAAAAAGCTAGGGGCGGCCAAACTAAAACATGGCTGAAATCCATGAAGTCACTGACAAGTGGACTGAGTCATGTTGGTAGATGTAGGCTACCTGGTTGGGGTCCGCGAGACGAAAGTCATCAATAGTTAGAGACTTTGAACGGCATGGCTCAAAATCGTTTGCAATGGCGCCGGTGCATTTATTTTTTGTGTTCTCTCAAATCCTAATCTTCTGGATTCGTCAACACATCTACCTTTGTCTTTCTAAACTTATCTCACTGAATTATACTTCTTGAATAATATCTTCAAACCCTAGTCTTCTTCATTACCATTAATACCTCTAATATTTTTATCACTATGGGATTTGATTTGACATTTGCGTCTCTGTGCTAATGTGGTTCTACGTTGTAATTGACTGACTGACCGACGAACTTAATATAGATTTGTTTACTAAGCTTTTCGCTTTGAATTTTTCGTAAAACTGTAGTACGTGACTTACTGATTATAGCGTACAGTTGTTAATCGATTAAGTCTTAAATTCTAATCATAATCCAACTTTTTCAGTTCAACTAGGTGGATAACTTCCATCAATAGCTGTAACACACACACACAAACAAAGCTGAAAGAATGCATCGTAAAAATGATTTTCATTGATATTTGTACATCTATCCTCATCTCTCAATCTTTAGTTGTTTAAATAAAAAGCACTACAGTGCAATTTTTCCACAAATAACTGATTTTGTTATACGATTTGTGTGATACATTGAACTCTACTTTTTTTTTCTCTTTTAAAAAATTTGTTTCTCCTTATACAGTCCAGATGATATTCATTGTTTAACTGAAATATTTTCTAAAATGTTTTCGGATTCTCAAAGCAAAGTAAGTTATTTATTTATTTCTGGGTTTTTTTTATTCAGTTATATAACACTATTTTACTTGTTTATTCTTCTTCAGTATCATGAGTCCTTTTATTCAAAGTCATCTTTCTATCTACTATTATTATTATTATTATTATTATTATTATTATTATTATTATTATTATGTTACTGTATATCAACATCACAATACTATTTCGGTATTTTGTTTTGTTTTGCTTATCAATATCTATCTAATAATCAAAAATTTACTGACATTTTGTATGTATATGCAAAATATCACAGTAGTTTATTTACTGGCACCCCTTAAGTTTTTTTCAACCGCTTGATTGTATTATAAGTTGAATCGTATTATCTCAACTATTTCAATTGTTAGTAATTGAATATATATGCATAGGTGTGTACATACATAATCCAGAATTTGACAAATGAATCACATGATTTTATCATTATTATGATTATTATTATTATTATTATTATTATTATTATTATTATCACTATTTTTTCTGTTTTTTTATGCTTCCCTTCATTTTATTTTTTTTTTCAATAGGTTGTCAGTTTATTTATGGATACATTGCAATTTTTTATTAAAGAATATAATCCATTACTTCGTGATTGGCTTTACACAGTATTAATACGTTTGTTATATCGTCAAAGTCATGAAGCTTTAAGCAGTCATCAAAAAGCGATACAAGAAACACTTTTAGTCCTCAGGTTAGTGATATGTATATGACTATGCACATGAGTTCTTTTCATAATATTCACCCCTGTACCCTATGGATAATTAAATTACAGTTTCATCTTTTAGATTACAGTGTATTTGTTATTGTTGTTTTTGTTGTTGAAACTATCATTGACTAGAAAATTCAATTAATTTAGAAAGAATAATGTGCAATGTAAGCATTCATATATGTTTGATATGGTTTGTTGCTAAGCTAAGATATTTTAGTGAAAAAAAATCTTGTTCTCAACTTTCTTTTATTGGATAAGGCTGGCTATGTTACGTCATTATCACAAAATTATAACCGTTTTTATCAATTAATCAGTTTTATTTGTTGTAGAGCTTGGTAAAACTGCTAATTATTAACCTGTAGTTGACATACGCCATTCACACAACAGTGTGATGAAATTCACAAAATCAATGGCAAAGTGATCGAACTAACTTAATACTACTAATAATAGAAAAGACATCAAGATGGTGGTTTAAAAAGAGACAGAATGCAACGGTATATATGAAGTACTACTGGAACTTATGATCTAAAAGAGGGTAAATAAATGCAAACACTGCCTTACTGTGATTGATTCTGCGGTTTGTCATCAAAACATCTTCAACCAGTAATCGCCGTTATTACCAAGATAAATGATGGACCGACAGTCAATGTTTTCATGAATTGATGCTACGTATAAATACGCTATGAGAAATCTCAAGTGTTGCATATGTTTGTGTAAAGTGTGTTATAGCAGAAGGTCAACTAATATCGGCAAAATGAAAATGCAGTTTCATCTAAACTACTATGTGCATATTATCTAACGGAATGTAGTAAACAGAACTCAAATTAGTATTATTATCATGAAAAATTCACTAACGACTATCTTTTCATCTGTATTCCTTACTTCAATATAGCATGATAATACGATAAATTCTCATCAGAATATAGGTTGATAAAGACATAGAATACCGATCTTTGAATTTATAGCTCATCCTTTCTGCAATATTCAATATATGTGGCCTATTAAACATTTTCCGGCAATTTTCCTGTTAATTTAATGGATGAATGTTAAACATAAAAGCATAATTATCATTGAGGATTTCATTTCAATTGCTAACTTTTTTTTCATTCTTCTATTCGGTTAGTTTATATGCTCCATAGAAGCCATATATAAAAAGCTTTAGCTCAATAAATTAAAGCCTTCATTGAAAATTACATAGAACACTTGAAAATGCTAGATATTGCACTTTCATTGAACACTGAAATAGGATGATGATGATAAAAGTATCATATACTGATAGCTTTGAACAAATACTGCTTAGAGTGGTAAAACAATCAACAGCTAAAATCCAGAAAATATCATTGGAATAATTCACTCTCACATGTCGGATTATTTCTTGTGATTAAAAGAAAAATCTAAATTCACCTATTAAAATTTGAACTGGTGTTATGAGTTACGGTTATGATTACCCGACATAGTTTTCATTACCAACTGAGATCAGCTATGATGCCTAAATGTTAAGGCTAGGTTTTTAAACTTAACTTGGAATTATAAGTTTTTATCACCAACTGACATAAGCTACGATGTAGTGCTTTGTCATTCTATTGTTTATAAAATTATAGTTGAGATTTAGGGTAAGAGTTGTAAAGAAGGAATATTATTTGACTTCATGAAACATTAATGACAACACCTTGAGTCATAACATATACGTTTTCATACGATTTACCTTTAAAGCAGTTATGTTTGGCAATTTAACTGAATCACCACTTTAAATTCAATTTTCGGCTTGGAAATAGAAATTCCCATTGATTTCAAGCATTTTGAAGACCATATTCAACTTCGTTAGTAATAGCATACAAGTTATCTTGAACGACATGTCTCAAAATCGTTTGCAATGGTGCAAGTGCATCCATTCGTTGAGCTCTCTCAAATCCTAATCTTCTGGATTCGTCAGCACCTCTGCCTTTGTCTTTCTAACCTTATCTCGCTGAATTATACTTCTTGAATAATATCTTCGAACCCTAGTCTTCCTCATAACCATTAATACCTCTACTATCTTCATCACTATGGGATTTGATTTGACATTTGCGTCTCTAAGTTAATGTGGTATGGCAACATGAACTTACGTACATACGCACGAAGTTCTACGTTGCAACTGACTGACTGATTGCATACAAGTTATCTACCACTACACTTTAAATTTCGCGTGAAGTACGTAAGGGATTTGTTTAATTCTGATTGGTTCATTCAAAGTCATCAGTATATTAATACTTTTACCAGGATGGTTACCCTTACAATATTTTATTTAAAACGTTCTATTCATTAAACATTTTTAATGTGTGTTTTTGTTGTTGCCTATTCTCCTTTTTGGTTATATTCTCTTTCTTTGTTTTTCTTTTCTTAAACACACTCTCTTTATTCATAGATCTCATTTCCCTTTGAATTCACAATTCACTAGTTGTTGTCGTTTCATTATGGATAATGCATATACACCAAATTTTCGTGTTAAAACTTGTCTATTAGAATATATGAAAGATTTAATTTTAATGATGAGTCCAGATGTCATTGCCAGCCCGTCGAATGAAGTGATTAATGCAATTGGAAAAATTGTCTGTTGGTCTACTGAACCAAAATCAGCTGATGTTCGACGAGTTAGTCATTGTTGATTTGTTATTCAGTTATGTATTTTGTTTTACTTCTTTTTGGGTTCTACCTTATCTTACTCTGACCTTGATTCCCTTGTCTATGCCTAACTACTAGTTGATGTAAACTCTAATTTTATGAATTTATCCATTAAAAATACGTGAGTTCCTGTCATAGAAACTTCATTCTGCAAAATCCAAAGTAAAACTATCCTCACGTTCGACCAACCTACCTATATACCAGTTTTTGCTGCCAACGATTTCGCTTTGTTCCCAAAATAGTCTTGCTATAATATTAGGCCAATGCTGAAGACGATCATACATGCAACGATATGACATTTAAAGAATCTGCCTTCTAAGGACTTCTAAACATAGTTTGAACAATACAAACAGCAACACAGATATGTATTACTATGAATGGTGTATGCTGAAAAAGAAATTTCATAATCTTAACCCACTTTATTCATCGGACACGGTATTACGGTATTTCTATTAGCATTCTTATCGTGACAATTTGAGCCAGCACACTTCTATCTGCTTGTTGTAAGCCATGATTTAACAATATTTCAAACTATGTTGACGTGTGCTTCCAGCTATACTTGACCAATCAGCTGATTATATTGCAGATCTTTATCGGCTAAAGTTTATTTATTATTGTATTTGTTCAATCATGTACGGTGACAGTTAAAGTAAAGTCACGTCAAAAGCATAATCACTCCGGTGACTTTCATTCATTGTTGTTCATGAACTCAACTGCTGAAATACAATAAAATGTTCTGACGGTCTTTTAATTATATCACTGAATCGTTAGTCATACATTGTTGTATGATTGCACAAATTGTATTCAGGTGTACAAGCGTTGAATTCTCTACTGTTTAACGATTGAAAATTACTTGTCTAAACTGATTTCTACGAATATCTCTGCCTATTTTTCGTCATCTTGGACTTTCTGTTCCACAATAACCGGAATCTAAAAGTATTATGTGTTCTGTTCATAACACTGAAGTTGATGATACAGTGCGAATAGGCTATACAGATCTACATTAGTTTTTCGATGAAATAGAATGCTGTTTGACACTTCAACGTTTTAAAAAGTTTTCTTTTGAATTTATTTATTGTTCAGAGCTCCGCATGGAACATTTCTAGTGTTACTGCCGGTTCTAAGCCTGAATAGACATGGGCATGGGATTAGCAACTCCATGCCTTATAAAACAACCTTACTAAAAAACGCTCATCAGAAAATTTTATTTAAAACGTTTAAACTCTGCCCTGTAAGTTGGGAGGCCTTCAGTTAAAAGAGTTTAGCCGCTTCATGGTGAAAGCCAAAAGTTATGAGGCCAATGCGCCTTTTCACAACCAAAGCAACAATTAGTATAGATACATGGAATGTTCACACAATGTGTCAGATCTAATGAACCATACAAATCACTGATTTAATGTTTCCCAGTTCTTCAATCATCTCGTTATCTTTATGTTTAAGCTCTTGTAGATCAGATTTCATTTTAATTTGTTTCAGTTTGTATAAAATGTACTTGAATTTATTTTCACTAGTTTAACCTCCATCTAGTTGTATATGATATCTTACTATTTTGTCTTTCTGCATTCTAGATGGCTTCTCGTGTTGTTATCAAATTGTTTGATTTGAATTCGACAAGTTTTTCCAACTTGTTACAATCACTACCTCGTGGAGTACAAGATCGTGCACATGAAGTGCTAAAAACTTACCAAAAGACTGCTACAGGTGGTGGTCTAATGAATTTAACCGATACTAATCACAATCCTTCTTCATGGAAGTCAACGTAAGTTGAATTGTTATCAACTTTGTCATCTTTAAACTGGAATTCTCTTCCATTCTCCTCTCGTTTTCAAGTATAACAACATATATTATTAATTATTGTTTTGTTTCCGTGAATTGGTCCATAAGCCTTAAGACTGAGTTATAATTTTTAAAATCTAAATTACTTTATGAAATCATGAATCGATCAATGTTAGACGGCCATTAGAAATCTGGAAGTGCTGGACGACTGTTTCTACAATACCGGCTCAGTGGTCCAGAGGTTAGGCGTTCGCGCACAAGACCGAAGGTCATGGGTTCGAATCCTGTGAGTAATGAGAGTCATGAATGTGCATTGCACAGTCATCCACCTGAGCTACATGTCTTCTCCACTGCTGATATCATCATGTCTCATATCAGGATGAAACGGCTGTCCAGTACTTCCAGGTTTCTAATGGCGGTCTAACATTGATCGATTCATGATTGCATAAAGTAACTGAAGAATCTCCACTACCCCATAGCGAAAATCTGAATTGTTCATCGATCGGTTATTCCTTTATCAAAACTTTTATCCGCTTTATTAAGTCCTATTGCTCATAGATTGTTTTCAATTACCTTTCTGTGGCATAATATTACATACGCACATACTTACGCTTCATTAATATGCATAATTTAATAAAATCCGCTCCTACATTTTGAACCTATTGGTTCTTCTTGTTTATGTATGTATGCGTGTATGTTTGTTGTAAGGATACACTGTTAAAATTACATTTTATTCATTCATACCACTCATATGTTTTAATATTATTATTATTATTATCTCATCACTTTCATTGTGTTCATTTTCATTCTATCGACTTCCGCTACTACTACTATTATCATTACTGACACATATTTCAGTTCACAGTCATTGAGAAAATATTCTCTGCCTGTAACAACTACATGTCGAAGGTCCTTAACTAGGTTGGTACACATTTTTGTTTTGTTTTGTTCCGTTTTGTGATTTGTTTTCATTATTATGTTATTTGTTTGTTGTTTGATCTATTATGGTGTATTGTTATTTGTTCACTGAATCACTCAATTTGTTTGTGTGTATGTGTCACTCTCTCTCTCTCTCTCAATGTGTTGTACCCGTATCTGTGTGTGTGCGTGTGTGCTGTGTATGGGTGTCTGTAGTTTACTACTCGTCCGTTTCATTGCTTTTGATTCAGTTGTATCTAATCTTACATGTTTTCTATTGTGTTTCCTACTACTGGCTACTTTCCTTATTTCATTCATTGATATTGTATTCATGTTTACGTGTCTTATTCACTGCTACTACCACTACTACTACTACTAACCTTTACATGTAGGTTTATGGATTGATTGGTAAAGTTGTTTAACGCTCACACACACACACACACACATCTTTTACACCATTACTTTTTATAATTATCAAATCATGTGTTCATAATGAATGACCATTTTTCTTTTTGACAAATACATTAATGACTAGCAGTAGTAGTCTATCATCACCCCAATCTGTTTGTTATCTTTGTCTACTAGATTTATCGTCTGTAGGATTTTTTTTTATTAAAATGTAATGATACCTTTAAGATTAATATATATATATATATATATATATATATATACTAATTGAAACTGCTATTTAGCTGTTTGCACAGCTTAAGACACATACATGTCAAGCATTTTCAGTTACATTCTGTTTTTTTTTCTTTTTCACCTCTAACGTTCACTTCCAATCACTAAGAGCTTGAACTTTGGAAACGGTTTAAATAATACTAAACTAATATGTATATAAAACAACGATCTTCATAATTCCATAGTGAAAAAATCATAAAACGAGCTCACTAGTTACTAGGTTCGTGAATAAGTTCTAGTGAGAAGCCGTGATAAGTTGAGTTCAACCCTTTCGGGTGTAGGTAGTAACTATTAAAGACAATAAGTGAAGTTGCGCAAAATCCCTAGATTTACCAGAGTTGGACATTAGCACCGTCAAATGTCGGCTCAGTGGTCCAGAGGTTAAGCATTCGAGCGCAAAACCAGTGGTCCTGCAAGTCGCGGTAGTCCTGTGTGCGCACTGTTTATGAGTCTCATACTAGGGCGGAACCACTGCTCAGTGCTTCCAGGTATCTACTGGTGGTCTAACGATTATTGATTGACGATTTCAATGTAAAAAACGGTCGCCATTATTCCATAATCAAAGATATATATATACACATATCAGTCAGTCAGCTACAACGTAGAACTTCCTACGTATGTGCATCAGTTCAAGTTGCCATGCTATATTAACACAGAGAGATTGAATTGATATTTCAAATCCTGTTGTGCTAGAGATATTAGCAGCATTATTGTTAATGTAGAAGATTAGGCTCCGAAGCTATGATTCCGGAAATATTATCCAGTGAGGTAAATTTAAGAACAGGAGAAATGTCATGAGGAATTCACAAGATGGAAATTTGGGAGGGAACAAAGAATGGATGCATCTACGCTGTCGCAAACTATTTTGAGCCATGTCATCCAAAGTCTCTAACCTCAGGATACTATTGTCTCGCGAACTCCAAACAGGTCCAACATAATTCAGTCCATTTGTCAATGACTTCATGGATTTGTGTCGCCGCTAGCTTTCTTCTAGCCTGTCCCTGCGTCAGACAATATTGCTCGTCAAGGGAGTCCGTGGTTTGACTTACGTAACACATTTCCCAACCACTTCAGCTGATGGAGTTTCCATACGTCATCTATTGACCTGCCACCTTATATTATCCTTTTCCTCAACCTTAGAATCGCTTGCTCGGTGTTCCCAGGATATATCAGCAATTGGTCTAACTCTCCGGCGATCAAATACTAATATCCTACGAATATTCCCTATTCTTAATTGCTATGTTTCATACAAAGTAGGAAATATATGTGTATATATATCAATATACTACTTAATAGTGTTTTTTCAATAAACACAAACATCTTGGTTCTTAAACTCATACAATTTGCATCTATCACTGATATTCAGATAACTTTTTCAACTTCTCTAACTAACTAAATTGTTAATTCCTGTTCTCTGTTCTCTGAAAATAAAATAGAATAACTTAACCTTGATTTTCACCAATCAGTACTACTATATTGTTTTGGTGAAAAAAAAAACATAACACCACAATAAAACAATTAACATAATTCTTTCGGAATAGATTTATTTACTCGTTAATTGTTTCTCCGTTTCATCAATATTCAATTCACCATATAAAATCAATTTTGTTTATTTATATGCACGCACTCACTCACTCACGCACACATACACACACACATTGTGCACATTGACTTATTATTATTTCTGTTTGAGTTTATAAATTTCACAGGAAATGTGTATTTGTATGCACTAAAGATCTATTGTCCATTTAGAATTGATTGTTTGTTTTTTGTTTTACTTTGTGTGAATGCGCTATAATGTGTATTTTATAGTACATTTACTATGGGATTATTATTCAATTTAACCAGCATAATCCAATTGATGCCATCGCTAAAGTATGTGAATCAGTTAGATGTATAGTTTTCTCTCATAGAAGCAATCCTGAAATTCTTACTGAACGGGTATGTATTTATTCAAAAAGTAGGGTCATTTTGATTAATTTTGGGCGAATCATTATATATTAAGCAATAAATTATAGATCCGAATGAATGTTTACAGTCAGCCAGTCAGTTACAACATAGAACTTCATGCGTACGTACATCAGTTGGCATATCGCATTAACACAGAGATGCAATCGTCAATTCAAATCCCATAATAGTAGAGGTAGTAGAAGTATTAGTGGCAATGGAGAAGATTAGGGCTCAGAAATATTATTCAACGAGTATAATCCAGTGAAATAAATTTAAAAAAAAAGAGATGCGGGAATTCAGAAAATTATAATTTGACAGAAGATAACTAGTGGATGCGCCTGCTGCATTGCAAACAATTTTCAGCCATGTCATTCAAGATCCCTAACCATCGGTTACTATTGTTCCGCAGACCGCAACCAGGTATTCAACACCTACCGACATGGCTCAGTTCTCTTGTCCGTGACTTTATGGATTTGTTCCATGTTTTGAATTGACCGCCCCAAGCATTATCCGCACTAGCGCTACACCACCAAACGTAGCAGTCGGTGCTTGAGCAGACGTAACACTACATGTCATCACCACCTCAACTGATGAAGATTCACCACTTCATCTGTTGATGTGCCATCCTTACCTAGTACTCGTTTTCAAAATACAATGTTATATCTTATTGTATATTTGATCACCTAAATGAAGAGATGACATTAGCAATTCTCATTTCTCTGGATATAATAGTGTATTCCGCCAAAAAATAGTATTCCTGTGTCCTACAAACTCCAGATATTCTTTACTGTGTGCTAACAATGAGTGACTGTTGTAGATGTGGTGTTTAATTCTACTTGCCAAACTGGCTAAATATATATGAATATATAGAAAATTAAACCTCGCATTTCTTACTAATACAAGCAACTTCTTGACCAATCATGTGCATTTCTCATTTGACTAGTTTCTGATTGGTCTTATCCATCAGTTTATTTTAATGACCGTCAGTAATATTAAATTTTTATTGTTTTTTTTTTCAAAATCATTATCTTTTTTTATTTGGTAGTGGGTTTTTGATACAAAAGATTCACCGAATCTGTTTCATATACTACTACTAGTCTCGGTTTTAGGCAACTAACTTACCTTGCTTATACACTACTTCGATCACATTGTTCTGACTTAATCTTTGTGTATAAAACAAGTAAATTTATAAATACATTCATCGTTATATAATGATTTGAATTGTAATGGTATATTGTCTATCTATTAACATCATTCCTCGTACTTTTAAATTATCACTAATTAACGTATTACGTACATGTAAATAAAGCTACCTTAAGTATACTACCGATCATGATACTAATCGTAACCTTTCATTTGCACACGCATATATATATATATATATATATATATATATATATATATGTTTCTGTTTACACTAATAAATATAAGTTGATTTCTTCATGTCGATTACTTGTACGTTTCTTTCCACCAAAATAAAATCTTGATTTCCATTGATTTACTCTAACTATCTGTATGCTCACTTTCACTCACAACCTAGAATTCGTCACTATGTATAAACAAATATGTATACCTTGGTCGTAGGGATTTCTTTTAAATGTTGCATTATAACTTTTTTGTAGATCTGTCGATCAAGATCATATGATGTTTTCACCACCAACTAGTGGACGGTATGGATCATTTACTGGACCATATTATTCTTCTCAACGTTCTCATAATTCAACTGGCGGTAGCAGTGGTCGCGTAAGCCCTGAAAGTATGAATCGTATTATTCGTGAAACAACCGATGGTCTTCAGTCACTCTCAGTTTCAGGCGGTATTCCAACTTCAGCAGTGACAAGTCCAACACGTAGAGCATCCGCTGATCCAAGCTATACAACCAACGAATATACACATGTTACAAATGGAAATGCAGGTGTTTTACGTACAATGCAACCAAATAATTTTCCTAATTCACAACCAACAGCATTAAAACAGCCTGATATTGTCCCATCTAATATAAACCCATCCTACGCTTCCCTACAAGGTACTGCTGCTAACGATCCATCACTTCAGTCTACATATGGTTTACGTACAAATAAGGTAGGTGATTACTTACAAAACTATATTATTGCATCTCTCACCCTGTTTTCAATGCACCACATTTCTTACAGATAAGTTTATAATCTTATTGAAACCAATTCTGATTACAGTTGTCATGCATTCACATGGTAATGAATATATCTTACCTAGTCAACTATAAAATTGTAACTAACTTTTCGAAGTACTCATCATTTAACTTTTAATAACAACAATCATTGATAAATACTACATTTTAAGCTATAAATAGTTAAGCTAGCTTATTACACACAGATGTAGGTATTTTACACCATGGAGTATCTATTGGCACTTGTACTATATAACACAGTTGAACACAGGATTAGCTTAAGTGATGTTGGAGCTTATGTCTAATATTTCGAAGACGAAGGTCTTAACCACCTCACCAATGTGTATCAATTCGGTTTGAATACAATCAAATGGATTATCACACTCTTAGGAAAAGGAATGTACTAAGAATACATTAATTGATCATGCACATAATTAATACCTATGGCGCAGGCGAGATATCCGTTCGCTGACTAAAGGACGAGTGTACTGTGCAGCAGTTCGCTCCGTCCTACTATACGGATGCGAGACTTGGCCGTTAAGAGTAGAGGACTTCCGTAAGTTACTTGTCTTCGATCATCGATGTTTCCGAAGCATTGCTCGTGTATCATGCGACAACCGTATAAGCAATGTTGTCGTTAGGAAACGAGTTCTAGGTAAGGATGGCAAATCAATAGATGAAGTAGTGAAACTTCATCAGTTGAGGTGGTTGGGACATGTGTTGCGTATGCCTAACCATCAACTGCCTCGACGAGCTGTTTTGTGGTGTAGGAGTAGGTTGGAAGAAAGTTAGGGGCGGCCAGACCAAAACATGGCATAAATCCATGAAGTCACTGACAAGTGGACTGAGTCATGTCGGTAAATGTAGGCTATCACCTTGTTGGGGTTCGCGAGACGAAAGTCGCCAATGGTTAAAGACCCTGAACGACATGACTCAGAATCGTTTGCAATGGCGCAGGTGCATCCACTCTTTGTGTTCTATGAAATTTTAAGCTTCTGAATTCCTCATAATCTCTACCTTTCTTCTTCTAATTTTATCTCACTGGATTATACTTCTCGAATCATATCTTCGCTCCCAAATCTTTTCCATCACTGCTAATACTTCTACTATCGCCATCACTCTTGTATTTGAACTGATAGTTACGTCTCTGTGCTGACGTGGTATGGCAACCGGAACTGGTGTACTTATGTACGAAGTTCTGTGCTGTATCTGTCTGTCTGTCTAATGCCTTTATGGGTACTACATTCTATTGAGTTGTTGAATATCAACTGCTGACACTGTGACTGTTAAGGATTAAAATTCTTTTTAAATGAACTCATTCTCAAGGTACTTGAATAGGAATGTAAGAGTTAACATTACTATCACCCGGTTGTTGAAACTAAATTACGTGACACAAGGTTCGAATTTGAGTTTCAGTAGCTGAAAGTCACTGCTGTAAAGGATTAATAGTTAACAAAAATTTCATATATTATAATAAAACTGACGAAAGTCTCCTTTTTTGCCCATTATCTTTCATCTCTTTTTTAATAATAATAAAAATACCGTAGTAAATATTCCTGATATGCAAATTGTTTCAATATATGTCATCTAGTTTGATATTGATTGGGTGGGTAACAACTTTGAAGTACAAGTTACTGGAAAATGTTCACTTATATCACTAAACCTTTATGCAACATTCATACTAATGAATGAATGAATGAATGAATCTCTAATTAAAATTACCTTTAATCTATTGTAAATTTATACTATGATTGTTGTTTGATTATTTTCCAGACTCCTTTAAATCCACTTGCCAATTATGATGCTAACGATGGTAAGTGAAGTCAGTTTGTTTTATTTTTTCTCTTTCCTTCTTACTTTGTTGATATGTATATCTACATAATATCAAAGAAGAAACCGTAACCACTTAATAAATGCGAGTTTATTATTCAAAGATTTCAGTTATCAGTACTTATTCTTTATTTAGAGTCATGGATATCATTATTTTTGCACAATGAAATCATTAATCAATCATTGTTAGACCAGCATTGAAAACCCGATAGCAGTGAACTTCCGTTTCGTCCTGGTATAGGACTCACCAGCATCTCGCAGGACTTGAACCCAGGACCCTTCGTTCGTGCTTGCGAATGCTTAGTCTCTAGACCACTGAAGCGGCATCCAACGGTTTTATTGTCTAACTATAGTTAGTCTAAAGTAAATGTGCAACCTTACCCGTTGTCATTGGTAGTTAGTCCTACACCCGACAGGGTTAGGTTAGACTCCACTGGTCATGTTTACTCACGAAGCTAGTAACTGCCAAAATCAATTGGGTGAGGTTGTAAAAAATCCTTAGATTCACTAGAGTTAGACATTAACACCGTTGGATGCTGGCTCATTGGTCCAGAGGTTAGGCGTTTGCGCACAAGACCGAAGTCCGTGGGTTTGCATCCTGTGAGTAGCAGGAGTCGTGGATACGCACTTCAGATGAGTCTCGTACCAGGAAAAAGCCGCTGTCCAGTCCTTCCAAGTTTCTGATGGTGATCTATTAATGACTGATTCATAATTTCAATGGTTAAGAGTACTTAGCTTTATCATTTACTCCATTGAACAAATGTAATCTGTACCGGCAATTTGTTTGTTTCTCTTAGCTCTTTGTGGTTTCAACATATGGCTGACATTTTTAGTACTCATTTCTTGAAATTTTTTTATTCTTTGAAATCATCTCTTAATTCACTAAAAAAAGAATTAGAATTCTCATTTCTGCTAACAAATAATCAAAACTTTACACTTTTCCGATCAGATTTTTTTTCGCTTTGAAACCTACATCTGTGTAGCGTATAATTTATTCAATCTCTACAGTCTTATTGATTGCATTACTGTATTCACATAAACCACGACATTTAAACTCAACAACTTCCTAGTGGAATTTCAACTCAAAACTGGTTAGTTAGTCAATTAGTTAACCAGTCCATTGAAGCATAAAGATCCGGTACTATGGTTTATTGATCCTAGCTACTATGCATTAATTATATCAAGCACATAGATGAATATATATGAAAATGCATGGCTAAGTAGTAGTTGTAGTAGTAGTGGTAGTAGTAGTAGGACTATTAGTGACAATTAAAATAGCGAGGCATAAACGAATATGATTTAAAAAGTAAGAGCTACTTTGATCAATAAAAGATTTACAATAAGAGGAAACATAAAGTGAATGCATATCTACTTCATAACAGTCAATTTTGAATCATCACATGTAACATAATAATAATAGTTTGGTATAGTCTGAGGCTTATCATCATAGCTTAGACTAACAATATATGCATATAACAATTCATTGTGTATACCTATATACGTATATATCTATCTTTTATGTTATGTAATTTACCTTTGTTCATTGAATTTATAATTCATATTTTCCCATGATGGATGAAATTACACTTTGTTTCCTATCATCATCCTCATCATTATGATTATGCATATTTTGCAAATAAAATAGGGCCCCCCAAATTAAAGAAACCAGTAATTGGTTATCAAACGTTAAAAAAAATACGCGGTAAGCTTAGTTGTTTCTTGATGATTACACTGGAAAAATAGATGAACACATTTTCAATGTGTGTATTGCATGTTGTGTGTGTGTGTGTTTGTGCGTATATGTATTAGTTACATTTGTTGCAGTTGTTGTTCTGGTAAATGGTTAGAACAATGAGAAATGATTCACTGTTCCATGTGTGCTATATTGATTTGTTTATTCACCTAGTTTGTAAAACTGTTGTCTCTCATCCTCTTGTATTGTTTTTTTGGTTTTTCGCTGTTACTACTACCACTACTTAGAGAGTTAATAGTCTTTATTGAATTTATTATTGCTTTTCACTTATAATTATTTCTTATGGTGATTTCTGTGTACATTTTATGCACGGTTGTGTGTGTTTGTTTTTAATGATTCTATATAAATTATTATAGCACAGTTTTTTTTCCTCATTGCATTACATCTTAATTGATTGTGTGTTTGTCCGGTATCTATAGATCTACAATTTGCTGCTGCTGATAATAGTAATAATAATAATTATCATTATTATTATTACTATTATTATTATTATTATTATTATTATTATTATTATTATTATGGCACAATAAAATAATGTATGTGTTCAAGCATGTAGCATGCAATCAGCATTTCAATGTTCTCATTTATCAGTTAAGTGTTGACGCTGTTATAATTATTTATGTCAATATGCAACTTTTTTATGCACATATATATATAGATAAACATATATATTTGTATTTTCTAATCTCATTTTTTTGGTTGTTTAGAAATGCCTCCCGAAGATATCATGTCTGAAATACTTCAGGAATTGTCGAATCATAATGAACGGTAAGATGGAATAGAATTTGTTTTAAAGTTTTTTCTTTCCTACAGTCTACTTTTCCCTGTTATTTTTTTGAATTTAATTTGTGCTGTTTTGTTATTCAAAACTTATGATGAACACATCAATTCTTCTGGAAATGCAGATGTACTACTACTTACTCACTTACTTGGCCTTCCTTTGCAGTTCTATCCAACTGCTTTTCGTTCTTTTCATGTCCACCTCCAATTATCAGCGCCATGTGTTCTTTAGTCCTCTTCTCTGATCATGAGTATCCCGAATGGGGCTTGTCTTGGGTGCTCAATGTAAATCCTAGCAACATCCTGCACTTCTTCCTCCACTGAAGTCTGGTTTGTTCTCTCTCACAGTAGATTGTTGCTGATGGTGTCCAGTCAACGGATTCGAGGTATTTTACTTGAACAACTGTTAATAAACACTTGTATATTGTGGATGATGGCTTTCGTAGTTCTCCAGATTTCTGCCCCAAACAGTAGAACTGTCTTGACATTTGTATTGAAAATTGTGACTTTGTTGATGGTTGATAGTTGTTTTAAGTTCCAGATGTTCCTCATTTGTAGAGATGCTGTTCTGGCTTTGCCGATTCACGCCTTCAAATCTGCATCACATCTACGTCGCTTATCAATGAGGTTGTCCAGATATATCAAGGTTTTAACATTCATCAAAGCTTCTCCGTCAAGTGTGACTTGGTAGATTTATGTTGTGTTGTCTCGGAGGACCTTACTTTTTTCCTTGTGCATGTTGACACTTAGTGCCGCAGAGGCCACCGATACACTGGTCGTATTCATCTGCATTTGTTGTTGTGTGTGGGATACAAAGGTAGCAACATGAATTGTTTTCATGGTCTCCCACAATGTACAAACATTCCATGTACCCATAATCATGGTTGCACTGACTGTCACAAGGGGTATCGGCCTCGTTACTTCCAAAAAAAAACTCGGCTTTCATCATGAGACGTCATAACTCTTCGAAGTGCCAGTGCAAAGTTTAAATGGTTTGAATTATTCTTTCTGGTTTGCTTCTTTCTGTTAGTTCATTTTCTATAGGATGCAGTTGGGAACTCTATCTGTATCTGGTATATGAGTTAATAATGATCTTCACTTCATTCTGTGTGTGTGTGTATGTACAGAAAATTTTATCAACGACTTGAAGGTTTTATCATTCGCGTTAATTTCTCAGTTTATATCAACGAATTATATTATATTTCTTTCGCATTTTTTAAATTAACTTTCAATCTGTATATTGAGTTTATTTAATTTTTTTCTCCCTCTTTTTTCTACACATAAATGAAATTTTTAATTGTCTATTTTTTTTTTTATAATTTGCCCTAAATCGGCTATTGTTTACACTAAGTACAATATAACGACAAATTAATTGCCTCTCTCGCTCTCTCTAATTAAAAATCGAATTATATAAATCCATATGTACGTTTGTCAGAATATTCACTTTCAATAATTTTTCTTTTATTCGGACCACCAATGGACTTGTTGCTTCGTTCTCTTCCTCTATGTTAAATTCCCTTGAAACACCGGTCTTGTCTACAGGTTCATTGATTTTATGTAGTTACATATTCTTCTCTAAACAATTATGTTTGATTTTCAATAGAACAATAGAAAAAAATCTATGTAGGACTTTTTTAAATCTATGCACTTCCAAGTAGAAATCATTAATTGTATTGTGAAATCATCAGTTAAACAAATAGTTGACTTATATAAGTTATTCATTCTCATTCAGAACCTGACTTGTATCGTATATGGAACAATGTTTGATAATTCATTTATTAGCATCATATCATTTTTTTTATTCTACCCTGGAATTTGTGTGTTTGTCAAATGTGATTTCACCTCGGGAAATCTTGAATTTCTCAATACACTTCTAAGTATGTGTTCAACAAAGGGGAGCAAAATTTTATCTGAAATTCTTTTTTCTTTACTATGTCTCCCTTAGAATACTTGGAACCAAAAGATGTTATTCTCTTTGATGACACTATTTCATGATTATCATTTTTGAAAATAGGATCACATTTCTTTCGAGTGTGAGGCAGTTACACACCGAAAACAATAGTAGCCACACGATATCGTGGATTTACTGAAATTAGGTATTCACATCGTTGGATACCGATTCACATCAGTACCCGATACTGGAAGTCCTGTTATAGCTTTCAAAGTCAGGACTAGATGAAATGTATGTTTATTTAGAAAAAAACACAGTTTAATAAGTATTTACACATTCTTCAACCATTAATTTGCAATCCATGAAGGCTCTTGACTCTCTCTCTCTCCTGGTCTTCAAAATACACTTATCACGTCATGCATGCACTTCGACCTCCAAGCACTCTTCTCTCTAGTAGCTATTTCTGGGCGACGCTCCTCCACATAATACTTATATGCCACCTTGTGAGTAGCATCCATGACATTGAGTTCCATTGTCGCTTGTGGGATTGTCGATGCTGCAGTGTCCCATACTACAAAGAAACGGTCGTCTACTGCTTCCAGGCTTTCAACAGTTGTCTCTAACATTGATCAGTTCTTGATTTTAATGAAACGCTATCTATATTATAAAAGTTTAGATTAGCTTCAAATTATAAATTTAATGTCAATGAAATAATCTCGGGACATTGAAGAAAAAAATACAAGATAAAATTCTTTTTGTTTCTAATTTCGATTGACAACGAACATTGACAACACATTATCTTTCAATTTTCATTATATTCCTAGTGTCTTTCTAACAATACTTCTGATCACCACTGACAAAGATCTTAAATCATCATTAATATTTATTACAGAGTCTCTGTTTGTTTACCTATGTATGTATGTGTAAAGTGAGGATTTATCATAGCTTCATATACATCATTAATTAGCGAAGTATATTATCATTGATTTCCTCACTGATGTGCGTATATATATGTGCATTGCTAAATAGGTGGCTTCTGTTAATGCCATTCATTATATAATCATAAACTATACACTCGTGCGTATGTATAACTTTCGACACGTTAATAATATTTCGTTTTGAGCAAAACGATGATAAACAGATACATCATCGTCATTACGATTATGATAATATTATTATTATTATTATTGTCAATTATTGTTTGTGTGTGTTAATGTACTGTAACATTTACTTAAATGGACTTCATCAAATCGATTTTCATCTAGAGACCATGTCACGTGAGTGCTGGTGTTGCAACCTCTCTCTCTCTCTCTACCTAATTGTTATATATAAATTATTACTCACTCTCCCCCGTTTCTTGGTGTCTATGATCACTTTTGTTTTTGTTGACTATTTTCATTTGAATAGAAGGTTTCATTTTGTTTTTGACTATATTTCGTTTTCTTTTGTTTAAATAAATTAACCTTAACTCTCTCTCTCTCTCTCTTACTATCACAAAAATACTACACAGTTTCAGCACAATCCATAATTTTGGTTTTGTTGTGGTCGTTGAGTTTGGTGATATTCTATTTAAAATTGAAACTTAACTAAAGTCAAGTATATTGAATAGATTGAAATCACTTGATATCACATTTGTTCTCAGAAAAGGATCATGAAATCCTGAAATGTTTTGCTGAAAAAGTACTTTATATTCTTCTCTCAGAGTTATTATCTATTATAGATGGTTGTGTTTAATAGCAACTCCTTACAATATTATTGTCAGTGTGCTATTCAAAGTAGTCTGTTAATGATATAGTGGACTTTCTGTGTATCGATTCCATGTCATTTCGTTCATATGTATGTAGTATGTACTCTCGTTTTTTTAACGGAAATGTTTTTGATTTTGACCAATTTGGTCTCGTGTGCTGTTACGGGCATGAGGGTGGTTGTAAATTCCCGGCTGCCCACACCGTGGAAGGTTGTTTCTTGAGGAACCTGGAAAGGAAGGTAGATTAGCGTTGGTCTTAGAGACCTGGGAGCGTGATCACAAAGCTCAAGGGACAACTGCTTCAGGCCGGTCACGCACGGCCTTTTTAAGAAACGTTTTTTGAGTATTAGCTCCGCCCTTATTGGCAGCCCTTACCACAGGAGACGGAAATCCGTGAGATAAGATGAAGGGTGACATTGCTATGGCCGACCTTTTCTAACCCTTCCTTCCTTTGTGAGAAGGCAGCATCGCTGCAGATGCTGGTTGTCCGAGGGAAACACCTTACTGCTGTCACACCCCTCTGCAGTCAGCAGTACCACTTCGCCCTCAAACCCTGGGTAGCTGCTTTTATTCTCATCGTTCTCCAATCGACCTGCCTGGCATGGTAGAATCTTCAGGAACATATGTTCCAGGCAATATAGGTCGGTTGTGTGATCACGATAGTCAAGCCCGACCACCACGTCAAGGTAGCAGTTTCGGTCAGAAATGTAAATACTGGATTATTGTGATCTAACCTACTATCTGAATATTTCATTAGTGTTGATCACCTTTGATGTCTGCTATATCTGCAGAATCGTCATTACTTCAACGTTTTCTTGGAGTTTTCCCTTATGGGAAATGGATTTTGTTTGCTTGTTTGTTTTGATTTTTCCTACAATTTTTCCTTAATTCAAAAAAAGAGGGAGTGATGAATAATAGCGCTTACAGCCATTGGGGTTTCCGCATTCAAAACTTATACTGCAACCGGCATCATTAATCTTGGATACACGAGATTATTAGTCTCAGTCAGTAAACAACAACAACATGGAACTTCGTACGTACGTACATCAGTTCAAGTTGCCATATCACATTAGCACAGAGATGCAAATGTCACTTCAAATCCCATAATAGTAGAGGTAGTAAAGGTATTAGAAGTAATCAGAGAGATTAGGTTTCGAAAATGTTATGCAAGAAGTATAATTGAGTGAGGCAAATTTAGAACGAGAAAGATAGAGGTGATGAATTCAGAAGGCTAGAATTTTTGAGAACACAAAGAGTGGATACACCTGCGCCATTGCAAACGATTTAGAGCCATGTCGTTCAAGGTCTCTAACCACCGGTTACTATCATTTCGCGGGTCCAAACTAGGTAGTCTACACCTACTAAAATGGATCAGTTCACTTGTCAGTGACTTCATGGATTCGTGCCATGTTTTGGTTTGGCCGCCACTAGCTTTTCAACCTATTCCTACACCGCAAAACAGCTCGACGAGGTTTTCGGCGGTTGGGCATACGTAACACATGTCCAAACCATCTCAACTGATGAAGTTTCAATACTTCATCTATTGATCTTCTATATCTACCTAGTACCCGTTTCCTAACAACAACATTGCTTATTCGTTTGTCCCATGATATAAGAACAGTGCTTTGGAGACACCTTTGATTGAAGACCAGCAATCTACGAATATCTTCTACTCTGACTGGCCATTGTAGGACAGCGGACTGCTGCTCAGTAGACTCGTGCTTTGGTTAGCAGACAGATATTTCGCGTACGCCACAAGTGACTCGAATTGGCAAACTCCAATCAAGCCTTCTGTATCCATGCTGAGATTTCGTCAGTCACCAGGCCATCAGCACTGATGAGAATCCCGCGATTAGTGAAGCGGTCGACACACTCAACTACTTCATTCCCTATCACTAGTTAAGGTGCCAATACAAGCCAATCTTGAATAAACATTTTGCATTTTGTCGGGGAATGATTATTAGTGTATACTGGTCTAGCTGATCTTATACTGAAGATACATGACTCACAATTAACAATGTTAAACCAAATTTATATACCAAATCATTAGTTTAATTTATAAAAAAAGATACCATCAGTCTACTCACATAGTTAAACTCAAAGTAGAAATTAATAATTAGATTGGAATTCACAATGCTTCATATTATCTCATAGATTTAACAAACCTTTAATGTGTGTTTTGTTTTATTTTCTGCTGATTGGCTAATACGTCGATCTGGTGAAGATCAATGTGCCAAATCCATGTTTTAATTATCTACTTATTATGATGATCCAAACAAAACTAGTTCGTTACGTAAATTGATTAAAATTAGAAAGAATTATGACATAAGAATAGAAATAGTAATAAGTGAAAATCAACAAAATTAGAAGGAATTTTTGGAACAGTTAATAGTGGTATTTAATTGAAACACACACGCTGTTTAAATTAGTTAATATGACCCTTTTTTCTAAACCACGATAAATGATTTTATGTATTGTTGTACTACCGTGAATAAACAGATTATCGTAGAACCAGGTGCAGACATACGTTAGTTTAAGCTACTATATGTGATTAGCACAACAACCCCATCTAGGTAGTTAGCACTCACCTACATATCTAAAACTGTAAGTCTATGACTTCTTAGACTAAATTCATACCATATTTTCATTTATCTCTCCTTCCTCGCTTTTTAAGTTTATTTCACTTCTTGAATAATGTCGTCGAACCCTAATCTTCCGATTACTGCTAATACTTCTACTACCCGTATCACCATGGGATTTGAACTGATAATTGAGTATCTGTGCTAATGTGGTATGGCAACCTGAACTAATGTACGTACGTACGTACGAATTTCTATGTTGTAACTGACTGCTCTAGCTATCCTCCAACCAACTCCTGCACTACCAACCATAGCTTTCGAAGTAGGTGATGATTGGATATACGTAGTGGTGTAAATTATTTAACAGCCACAAGTGATTAATTTCGAATTTTTCTGTGTACTGAGCAAGTCAGTAGCACGGATACAAAAGGCTCGATTGTCTTGCCAACTTGCGTCACCTGTGGCACAGTAGAGATATCCGTTTGCTAACCAAAGGACCAGTTTACTGCGCATCAGTTCTCTCCGTCCTAATTTATGACAGTGAAACATGACCAGTTAGAGTAGAGCATATTCGTATGCTATTCATAGCATTTAATCATCGGCCTCTTCGATGCATTGCTCGTATCGTATATCCTGAGACATTTACGTAAACAATACAGTTGTTAGAAATTGAGTACTAGATAAGGATGACAAATCCAGTTAATGAAGTAGTGAATCTTCATCAGTTGAAATGGTTGGGACATGTGTGACATATTTCCAACCACCGAATACTTCGTCGAGCTATGTTATATGGTATAGAGGTAGGCCGTAGGAAAGCTAGGGGCGGCCAAACGAAAACATGTCACAAATCAATGAAGTCAACTGTGCTTTGTTTGTAGGTGTAGACTACCTGGTCAGGGTATACGAGACGATACTAACCGAGACCTTGAATGACACGGCTCAAAATCGTTTACGATAACTCAGGTGCATTCATTCTTTATGTTCTCTCATATTCTAATCTCCTAGACTACTAATGACTTGTTTTCTCTTTAGAAAATTAATTCACTGAATTATACTTCTTGGATAATATCTTCGAACTCTTATCTTCTTTATTACCGCAAATTGTTTTAGTACCTTTACTACTTAGAGTATTTGAATCGACAATTCCATCTCTCTGTGCTAATGTGATATGGAAACTTTAACTGATATACGTACGTTGTAACTTACTGATAGGGGTATTTTATACACTTAAAATTAATATCATGTATGTCATATTATTTTTGTCAAATCTCGTAATCTGATCATGAAATCTACTAAACAGTAGTCAACTTCACGAACTACCATGCAAAAATACGTATTAACATGATTGAAACAATTACATGCGACGACACATATAAAGTTACCACCTACTTTAACTGCTTACATATTCAAAAAGTAAACCTTCATCGTAGTATTTCCTGTTGGTATTATAATTAATTGAAAGCCAAATTGATAAGAAATGAATATATATCTATTTCTGTTAAAAAAAAATACTTAAGATTTTATTCTGGTGATGGTATAACAAAAAATGATTTTTTTTTCTTGCTACCTGATTTCACTGTTTCTTCTTACTTGGTAAGATTATTATTCTTGTTTATTTTCTACTGATCAATATTCAGTAGTGTGTTCTTTTTCAGTTTATTTACATGTACTAATAGTCTCAGTAGAAGCAATGGTTATTGATTAGCACTGTTAGATAACGGAAATTATTGATGAACAGTCTGCTTGCAATATTTCTATTCATCACATATACGAATGTCTCTTAGTTTTTACAACCTCATCTCGGAAGGTATAATCTTATTCCCTATAGGTCAGTCTTACACAATTTTCAAACTACAAACTCAGTATTCCTTTGTTTTCAGTACCACACGAAAGGCTTTTGAAGGAAATCACACATAAAGTATAAATGAACATTTATTGACAATACCACACTCCCTACCAAAATAGATTAACTCAATCTCACAGTTCATCAGTCAATCAGTTACAACGTATAAAACTTCGTACGTGCGTACATCCGTTCAAGTTGCCATTATTACATTAGCACACAGAGATGGAATTGTTGATTCAAATCTCATACTACCTCTACTACTTTTGAATTGACAATTATATCTCTGTGCTGATTTGGTATGGCAACATGAACTGATGTACTTACGTACGAAGTTCTACATTGCATCTAACTGACTGAGTAGAGATAGTAGAAGTATTAGTGGTAATAAAGAAGATTAGGACTCGAAAATATTATTCAAGAAGTATAATTTAGTGTAGATAACTTTAGAAAGAGAAAGATAAAGATGATGAAAGGAATTCAGATCTCATAATTCATAGTTTTTTTTTTGAATGAGTCTATTTTTAAAGCTGACAAATTAAAGATATACCCCCACTGCCTAATCAATGGCCTTAATATGGATACACACAACACCGTCACTGTTATATAGACGTATACATATTAGCTTAAAGCTTCTATTTCACACATTTATCTGCATTATGCTCAAATGATCACTAACCACAAATTTTATTTCTTTTTTGTTTATAATCTTGTTCACACTTACTTTTTTTCTTCTGTTATTGATGTTCTGTTATGTTTGGGTTTTTGGTTTATTTATTGCAAAAATGCAATTTTTTACACTGTAGTTCATTACTGTAGTAAAATCATTAGTTTTATTATTCTTTTTTTTATTCTATCCCTATCACTTTAATTTTCAAGTTATGAACAAAGAAAAACATGTATGTTAAAGCTGATCAAATTATTATGTGATGGTGCTATTACTAATTGGGATGAATATTTTAAGCCAACTTTGTTAATTCTACTAGAAACATTAGGTGATGATGGAGTAAGTTGAAATGTTACACATTTTGTGTATAAAATTTTGTTTTCACCGAGTTCAACATTGAATACAGCATTATAGTTTTTAGTGATTATTTGTACAGGATACTTTCTTTGTGTGATATTACTAACTAATATTCAGTAGAATTATGTATGTTACTTGTGGGTGATGAAAAAATTCAACATTTACAAACCTTCTTTTTGATCCCACCATTTCAATATGGAATTGAACTCGCACGTTTGTCAATCGTAACACTATAGAGAGATGTTTGGCAGTGCAAACTGAAGGGACTTAACTTATGTCACTAGACATTAGAACTTCCAATTCTCACTCATTGAGATACTATAAATTTTGTCTTTGTTTCATTATTAACTTTTCTCATTAAGATTTTCTCATTGGAAATTCATCTAACATTCATTCTATGAGTATGTTAAGTTATATATATATATGATGAATATATTGTGACTACAAATGCAATATTAGAAGAACATTTCATCCTATTTGGAAACTCACCAGCTAGACGAAATGTGCCCCTGCATCTCAATGATAATGTTACACTGCTAAGCCACAACCGATCTACTCTTCATAAAACTTGTAACAAAATGTCTAGGTAGAACTTGTCAACAATAGAATTATCCAAATCTTTTCTAGTACTAAAAATAATATAGTTTACTGCAGTAAGCGTCAAAATGGTACAGGAAAATCATATTTTTCTGTATAGCGTGAAAACATCAATAAAATTATCTAGTCCTTAAGGAGCATTTTCAGAAGTTCCTTGGAGCTGTGGTCGGATGGGAACTTGTTGGCTTTTTGAGAGCGTTTGGAGTCTTCTGAGATCTCTTCCAACTAATATATGTGACTAAGGTTTTTCTTAAAAAAAACCTACTGAAGATAAATCCAACTTGTGTACGTGCGTGTGTGTGTGCGCCTGTGTATATAGAACATTTTCATCCTGTAAAATTTATGAAATTCCTAAAAACACCAACTGTTGATATTTAAAAAAAATAACGATTCATCTTATGAATAGATTATTATTATTATTGTTATTATTTCATTTTAATAAACCTAATTAAATGTACAACAGAATTTGGACAGTTAATCATTTTATTCAACATGGTTGTGATTGTGGCTGTTGTTGTTTCATGCAATCAGTTCGATCAGAACTATTGGTAGTGACCGTCAACTAATCAATTAATTATATACATATGTTTGCATTGAATTGAAAAAAAAATATATTTTTGTCTTGTAAACAACAATAACAAATGATAATTTTTGGCGTAGTATATTTTAAAAGCCTGCAAATCAGGTTTCCATTATAGTATTTTCAATTAATTCCAGCATACTAACCAGGGAGTCTATATACACATATACATAGACCAATAAAGTCTAGAAATGACGAAATATTAGTTTTCATCTTTTCATTATATATGTATATTGGCTGAACCACATATCTGTTCATTTGCAAATTCTCAACGGGATTCTACATTGTTTTTGGCTGTTTCTATAGAAGCAATGTGTTTTTATTTGTAAAAAAAAGAAATTTTTTTAGTATTTCGCTTTGATCGGTTTAATTGAGAACCTTTGATCATTCTGAGTAACATCATCAACGTTGCAAGTAAACGGAAAAAGCTCCCTGACTTGTTCCTAGAGCAATAAATCATCAGGTCAACATCTGATGAACTTTTTTCAATTAGTTGTTTTCCTAGATCCTATTATATTCACAGGTGTCTGTGTACCTGAACATAACAGTCGATAGGACATATGAATGACAATAGACTATTTCGTCGGAGCAGACTGGTGGAACATTCAGAAGGTTTCCTTCTTCTGTTGCTTGAGATACAAACTATTGATTTTTCTGCCAAAACAAAAAACTTTACCATTATAAACCAGCCAGCTGAATAAAACTCTGTACATATAAAAAAAATTCACCATTGAGTAATGAACTTCTCTGTCACTTCAAAAAATTTGTTCACTTTGATGACGGCTTTTTATTTTTTTTTAAGTGGAAGAAATTTAACTGTTGATCTTCGTTTTCTAAACATGTTCTTCTTTTTTTGTTTGTTTTTCTTGGCATTCTCTGTTAGCATGAAGCCAGAGCACTTGCACTTCGTGTACTTCAAGAATTAGTACGAGCTAAACCAGATTTATTTCATGATTTTGCATATTTATTTGTTATTAAAGTACTGGAAGCTTGTCGTGATAGTGAAAAATCTGTAAGTTGTTTTCCTGTTTAACATGTATTCGTTCTCTTATGAATATACATATATATGTGTATATAACATCTCATTTAGTCAGTAGATGTAGCAGGAGTATTCAGTCAGTCAGTCAGTCAGTCAAATACAACGTAGAACTTTGCATGTAAGTACAGCAGTTTAAGTTGCCATACCACATTAGAGTAGAGACGCAATTGTTAGTTCAAATTTTATAATATTAGAGATAGCAGAAGCATTAGCGGTAATGGAGAATATTAACGTTCAAAATATTATTCAACAAGTATAAGTCAGTAAGATAAATTTAGAAAGAGAAAGATAGAGGTGATGATGAATTCAGAATATTAGAATTTCATAGAACACAAAGAGTGGAAGTACATGCAAACTATTTTGAGCAATGTCATTCAAAGTCTCTAACCACAATTAACGATTGTCTCGCAGACTGCAACCAAATTGATCAGTTAGCCAGTCAGTCAGTCAACAACAACATAGACCTTCGTACGTACGTACGTACATCAGTTCAAGTTGCTACATCACATTGTCAATTCATATTTCATTTTAATATAGGTAGTATAAGTATAAGTAGTAACTGAGCCTTGTCATTCAGTCTCTAACTACAGGTAACGATTGTCTCGCAGACGCCAACCAGGTAGCCCACATCTACCAACATGACTCAGTCCACTTGTCAGTGACTTGATGGATTCCTGCCATGTTTTGGTTTGACCATCCCTAGCTTTCTTCCAACTTATTCCTACACCATAAAGCGCTAATGGAAGAGAAAATATAAATCTTTTTAAAAAAAAAGAAAAGTCATTAGGAATTCTAAAGTTTCACATTTAGAGGTAGACAAAGAATAATCAATGCACATGTGCCATTACATATTTGATAAATTAATGTAAATTTTTTACTATATTGAGATATTGTTGATCATCTGTTTTTCTATTGCTAAATATCATTAAAAATCAGTCGACGTTAATTCTCCACAACTCATTGTTTATGAGATTTGCAACCGTAATTAGTTTTTTTCCTTGATATGAATGATAATAATAATAATAATAATAATAATAGTAGTAGTGGTAGTTAGTATTTATGCTAAGAATATGTATGTTCTAATCTTAAAATCCATCATTCTTCAAATCATCTAGTTTATTGTTTACTTTTTAATAATTATTGGTTCATCAAGTCATTGACTATTCATTGAATTCGTATTCAAAATAAAAAATAAGAAATGTAATTCTGTTAGTCAATATTCATTTAGAATGATCGCGCAATGTTGTTTGATTGTAGACTTCTGTATGACTTGTTTGCCGTTGAAGAAGGTTGCAGTGATGCCTAAAATAGATGTTATTCTTTTAAAATATGTATTTGAATATTATTTCACATCTAGATATATTTCTATTTTCATTTTTTTTAAGAACACCTCTAATATGTAGTTTCAAACTTTGATCGCGATATCATTAGATTATATTCTTTTTATTAGGTAATGTAATTGCTGTCTTGATTGATGTACTAATGCAAAATACGACGGACAGCTTAAACGAATGTATACTTCCGTCCAATTATTACTCCTTCATGACCAAATAAACTAACGGAGGATAACTGATGTAGGAGTCGGCTGAAAGAAAGCTAGAAGTGGCCAAACCAAAACATGGCAGGAATCCATAAAGTCACTGACAAGTGGACTAAGTCATGTTAGTGGGTGTAGACTACTATCACCTGACAATCGTTATCTGTGGTTAGAGACTTTGAATGACAAGGCTCAGTTACTGCTTATACTTACTTATACTACCTTTACTAAAATGAAATATGAATTGACAATGTGATGTGGCAATTTGAATTGATGTACGTACGTACGTACGTACGAAGTTCTATGTTGTTGTTGACTGACTGACTGACTGGCTAATTGATCAATTTGTAACCATTAAATGAATTCGAGTTTCCAGTTTTATATATACATACTTTTCTCCGAACAACTTAATATCTGCATCAATTAAAACAATACACAAAACCAATCAATATTGTTTTCATTTAGATTTTCATCAGATTTTACTTTTAATACACGGTAATATTTATGTAGAAAATATACATAAATAATAAGTTTGTTACATTAATTATCATCACTACCTTGAAACTAGCATACTATTCTATTAATGTTTACCGAAAACTACTTATCCATTATAAATATTTCATTTTCTCTTCAAAACATTGTCATAGTTTCAAAAATTATAACTATATTTGGTCAAACAAATTCCAGTGATATATTTTTTTTCACCATATTTTATTGTCTGAATCTCTGCTTCATTTCTTAACAAAATAGCATCAGTAACACATAAATATAATCTTCAACATAAATAGTTCAAGTACGTAAAAAAAACTATTCACACCATAGATATGTTTTTAGAGATTACATTATCTTGGTCTGACTTTTCAGAGCTGGACCTTCTATCAGGAGATTCGCTTGTTGACATAGATTATGCCGATGACTTAGTTCTACTTAGTGAGGACGCTGGCAGAATGTAGAGTCTTCTGACTGACTACCCTAAGCACCAATGCAAGCATGTTCAAGATGTGATTATCCCCGGTGAAATTTAAAATGCTGCTTAAAGATTGGCTTGCATCGACACCTGAACTAGTAATACGGAGTGATGCAATTGAGCGTATCAACCGCTTCACTTATCTTGGGAGTCTCATCAGTGCTGATGGCCTGGTGACTGATGAAAATTCAGCATGGATACATAAGGCTCGATTGGCTTTCGCCTACCTACGTCACTTATGGCGAAGGCGAGATATCCGTCTGCTAACTAAAGAACGAGTGTACTGCGCATCAGTTCGCTCCGTTCTACTTTATGGGTATGAAACATGAACAGTAAGAACCGAGGATATTCATACGTTATTAGTATTCGATTATAGATGTCTTCTAGGCATTGCTCGTATATCCTGGGACAACCGGGTAATCAATGCTGTTGTTAGGAAACGAGTACTATTTAACGGTGACAAATCAATAGATGAAATAGTGTGACTTCATCGATTGCGGTGGTTTGGACATGTGTTACGAATACCCGACCACCAACTGCTTTGAGAAGCGGTGTCTTGTAGTTTAAGGGTAAGCTGGAAGAAAGCTAGCAGTGGCCAGACCAAAACATGACAGAAATCCATGAAGTCACTGACAAGTGGATTGAGTCATATTGGTAAGTGTGGACTATCTGGTTAGGGTCTGCAAGACTATCGTAACCGATGGTGATAGAATTTAAATGAAATGGCTCAAAATCGTTTGCAGTGACACATGTGCATCCATTCTTGATGTTCTCTCAGATTCCAACCTTCTGAATTTCTCATCATCTTTATCCATTCCCTTTCCAAATTTATTTCTCAGTGTTTATATTCCCTAATCTCCATTACTGCTAATACTTCTACTACCTCTACCCCTATGGGTTTTGAATCGACTGTTGCATCTCTGTGCTAATGTTATGTGACAAGTTGAGCTGATGTACGTACGTGTGAAGTTCTACGTTGTATCTGACTGACTGATTATTATTATTATTATTATTATTATTATTATTATTATTGTTATCATTATTATTTAGTGATTGTTCTTGTCTTCTTCTTCTTCACATTCAAATTAGGTTATTCGAGCTGCAGAAGAATGTGCTAATACAGTTGCACAATATCTTCCACAAGAATTATGTCTTAATGTATTAACACCTCTGATTAATGATTCCAAATTACATATTAATTTGCCTGCAATTAAAATGCAAATGCAAGTGATACGAAATTCTTCACCGGAATTAGTACATGAATTTATTAATGCATTAATTCCTGGACTTGTTATTGTAAGTTGTTTTTTTTTTTTTGGTGGGTTTTCTGTTAGATTACTTTTTTTTTAATTTTGTTTCTTTTTATATGATCTGAATTGATTTTACTTAGAGTTTTGTTTGTTGTCAAAACTGATCTCATTAACCAACGTGAGCAGTCAGTAGGATCTGGATTAATCTGTAATAAATTGGATTGCCTGCAAATTCACTGCAAGTGTAATAATACTTAGGTGTAGAAAGTTCATTCTCGGGTGGTAATAATCGAAATCACAGTATCTATGCCTATATGTGTATATGCTAGCAATGCTGTCGTTAAGAAACGAGTACTTGGTAGGGGTGGAAAATCAATATTTGGAGTGTTGAAACTTCATCAGTTAAGATGGTTGGGACATGTGTTATGTATGGCTAACAGCCAACTGCCTCAACGAACGATGTTTGTGGTGTAAGAGTAGGTTGGAAGAAAGCTTTTGGCGGCCAAACCGAAACATGGCAGGAAATCCTTGAAGTCACTGAGAACTGCATTTAGTCACGTTGGTAGATGTAGGCTAGCTGGGGGTCCACGAGACGAAAGTCACCGATGACTAGTGACCTTGAATGACGTTAGTAGTGGCGCTGGTGCTTCAGTTCTTTGCGTTCTCTCAAATTCTAATCTTTTGAATCCCTTATCACCTCTACCTTTTTGTTTCTAAAGTTATCTCACTGAATTATACTTCTTGAATAATTTCTTCGAACCCTAGTCTTTTTGATTACCACTACTACCTCTACCACTGTGGGATTTGAAGCGACAGTTGCATCTCTGTGCTAATGTGATATGGTAACGTAAACTGATGTACGTACGTACGAAGTTCTACGGTGTGTCTGACTGACTGTAGGTTATGGATTCCATTGGTCTTCGAAGTACGTATTTCGTAGATGCATGTAATGCATTCTTATTAAGGGGCTAAAACTAGTTTGTATCGTTGCTTATGTTTAAATACCTTATGTATTTTAAGCGTGTCAAGAGGAAGCTTACGATATCTTTTTTGATACTTAAAAATCTTTAACGCCCATGAAGTGTACAGTTATGCCCAGCTAATGACCATACTCCATAATATCCATTGTAATATGAATTTAAGGACATTATGTCATCAGTGGACTGTTCTATCATGTCTTTAAAACGCAAGCATTCAAGCTCGATATCAAACTGTGAGATACTAAATTCCATCTTAGCTGGTGTCGTAATAATGATTTGAAAACATGATTCTTATTTTTTCCCAATAATTGTTATCTGCGCTATGATAAGTTTGATATTTTTCAGCATCAGTTTTCTTCTGATAAGTCAACTGATTTCCCAACCTAGTTGACAATTGTTATCTGTCTATTAAGATAGCAATACTTTTTATCCTGTATGTGAACTATTAAATCACATAACATCCTCTTAATAAGTCAAGTCTTTAATGTAACTCATTTAACAAGTAGGTATTAATGCGTCTAGCACTCAGCAGTCACATTCTAATTGTAAAGTCTAGTAATAGCACTACTCGAAACTGAAAAAAATGAATAGTGTTCGAATCTTCATCAACCACTAAAACTATCGCATTCATACCAATGTCTTATCAATTTTTAGTAACCTATTCATCTGTTACTAATATTTTTCAACTTCTTTTTTTTATACTCCCATGACGATATAAATGGTTTTAAATAATAAAAATGATTATTTTGTTTATAGGGTACAATCGTTAACTAAACTATGTATTAAATTAAATAAATTAATTTTTGTAACTATTTCAACATCATTTCACACTTGTTAACTGTATAAAAATGTAATTCCCACTACTCACACACACACACAGCAGTACATTCAACAATCAATGAGTTCATCTCTGGTCAAGTTTGTAAATGATTTTCACCTGGACTCCTCTTCCCTACCTTGTACTCCAAAAAATAAAAAAACTGAACTTCAATTTTTTTCTAGCTGACTGACCATTTACTGTTGTTTTTTCTTGTAAGAATAGGTTGCTAATAGCTCTGTGTGTGTGTGTGACTTTTGACCTGAATATTTACGCATAATAATTAATGGCAGAATATAACCTATTTATACATGTGTTCAAACTAATACTTATCAACATATATATATATATATATATATATATATATGTATATATGTCTATTATTATCATTGTAGGCTTGTAATCATGAAGAGAGTGCTATACGTAAAGCCAGTGTATTTTGTTTAGTTGCAATAGCTATGAAACTAGGCGATGATATTTGGAGTTATTTAACTGAATTAAATGCTGGCAAAGTAAGTTATCTAACATTATACATCATTACTATATTTATTATTATTATTATTATTATTATTATTATTTAACAAAGCTAAAGTTTTATTTTTTGTTGATCTAGTTTGTGTATTTATTATCTGGCAGTATCAGATCGTTTTTGTGTTTTAACAAAACAATGAATACAACCCCTGTCTTTGTGCATCATACTTACTTACTTACTGACTGACTATTTAGGAGTAAATTTGTGCAATGATTATATAATATGATGATCATAATTATGTTTAGCTAACCGTATGATTAAGGTCGCATACATTCACACACACACATATATATATATCTTACGAATAAGCTAACTCTGTTGGAAATTAGAAATTAGGTGATACAATTTACTAGAAAGAAGATTAGTCATTCTGCAAAGTAGTTAGTTCTTTAATGTGTATGTGCATTATGTGCATTACCTTAATACAGTTTGTCAAATAGCTAAGATTCATTTTTCATAATCACATAGTAGTAGTAGGTTATTAACATCGTCTTCATTTGAAGACCATTGATTACATATAAATTACATAATGGCTTTTCACTAATCAATAAATAATCATAGATTAGTGTCATCCTATTTCTCAAAGGTTCAAATCAGCGCCGATGAAGTCAAAAACACAAAATTTATCATTAAGTCGTTTGTGACACATTGTTTGGAAAGAATTCATTGCACTTACAAATTACTAACTCTGTGAGATGGTGGAGAAAATGTGTAGCTCAGGTTGGATGATTGTGGTGGTGTTTGGTTCTCTAAATTGGATGTTTTGGTTGTTGAGCTTTCATTGTTCTTCTGAACAAGATCATCAGCACAAACTTCAGATAGAAGTGAAGTATTCGAATGTCTCCACGTTTGTTCTGCTAATGTCGATCTTCATCGGTTGTTATTGACCTGAAACCTGTCGTTGTTTGCTCCTTTGTTTTGATTGTATCCCCCTTTTGATCTGTTTCTTGATCCTATGTCACCTATGATTTTTCCGATTGGTTGGTAAATTGGGTCCATGTCGATGTGCTTGTCGATTGCTGATTGACCGGAGTGCCAAACTTCTAAAAATTCTCTAGTGTTCCTTGTGCTCCCCTATCCAGTATTTCCACATTGTTCCAATCGAATGTATATCCGTAATTATCCGTATGTATTGATATAAGCGAAGAATTATCGTGGTGTTTGACTGCTGACTGGTGTATTTACGTGAACAACCAAAACATCCAGCTCAGAGAACGAAACACCACCACTCCTAACTCTGTGTTCTAATTTATCCACTGGGAAAATGCCATCTACGTTACCTTCATCGCCATAAAATACAGTTTTACTTTTTATTGTCATTTACATTGTTATTATCATGGTTTCAGATGTATGTGTTCGTTTTTCTTCACTGTTCCTCTCCAATAATCGTACAAAGAATAAAGATATTTTTGATTAGTTTGTTTATTGATCAGTGTAAAGGAAGTATATCACAATGAAAATAGTCAATACTAATTGATCATTGTCAATAATATAAGTGATCAATATCCAATTTGATCAATCAAGTTTTATTGAATAATTTGTTCTTGTTTTTTTGAGAAAAAAGTCGTTTGTATTCCTTTATTTTGAATTATTTTCTTTTTTTTATTTTCTACCCACTACACTACTCACCGCCGCCGCGCGCTCAATAGAAACGCCTTTTGAAACTGTACATTGATCGTCAACAATGTCCAACTACATCAGACGATTCAATCACGACAAGAAGTTGATACCATTGATCATCATCATGCAGGTGTTTGATAAAATAAAAAGTCATGTCAGCTATATAGAATAACATATTTGTGTACTATTAAATCCACTAATGTTATGATCAATCTATTTTACTTTTACTCTCTTTTGCTCTCTCTCTCTCTCTCTCTCCGTGTGTGTGTACCATTTTTGTCATTGCTAACTAACGTCTACTGTTGTTGCCGTCATCGGTGTCGTCGTCGTTATGTGTGTATCACTGACGATAATCAAATGTTTCAGAGGATGAATGAATGAGAAAAAAAATTAAATTGTGCATTTTTTTTCTTATAAAAAATTCCCTCAATTTTATTTTGTATAAACCGTCAAAAATGCATACATAACCTACACAACATACATGCTTACAACCAAATTGAAATTAAAAAAAGTAAGAGAGAGAGATTGGCATTTTATTATTTGAAGAAGAAGTAGAATATGATGTCACTTGCAGTCTATTGTTGGAATTCCCTTTTTTTTCGGGTTTTTAAGCTTCACAAACCATATTCACTATTATATGTGGTTCCTGTCTTTTTCCCCGTTATACCAACCACATCATCTTTGACAACCTGATCAAAAACTGAACTAAAAAATCACTGATTTAATAAAAATACGCAAAAAAGGTTGATCAAAAATATGAAAAGTCTAACTGTGCTCATTTTTTTCACTTGAACTCACCGCCTGCCTACACACACAATTCAACATAGAACAACACATTGAGAGAAGGTAGATGTGTTGTTTTTTCAAGCAAAGAATACATCCATACACAATGTTTGAATTCACCTAATTAGTGTAGTAGATCATCAACTGGATAATTGATTTTTATCCAATCAGTCGTCGTCAACTAATCATAACTTATGATGATACTCCAATCACCATTTTTCATGTTAGTGAATCACACAAACAAACTCTTAGTTGTTTTTTTCTAAAATCCAATCCGATGGAATATACACATCAATTAGTTGTGTATCATCTGTTTTATTTGCCAGCAGTAATAGTAGTAGTACCACCATGTACGTGTGTGTATATCATGCAAAATCTTGTGTATTTGTTTCTTTTTCTTTGATGTTTGTCTGTTTGTTGATAGATATTTTACTTTTGTGAATAGTAAATGTGTTTGTGAATCAGTAAAATTTTTTACTCCTCATCATTCTTTCTTCAATAGTCCTTTTCGTCAATGAATACTCTGTTTTATATTCCAATAGTCCCCCCCTACTCTCTCTCTCTCTCTCTCTGTTCATTTTGATTGAGATCAACAACAATAACAATAAACTTGATCGGATTATCAGGTTATTTTATGATCATAGTTACCTCGTCTTATTTCATTCATATTTGGTATAAACCCAGTAAGTACCTTGATTCAATGTTAAAAGAGAAACTCTTGGGAGTTTTTTTTCCTTCTTTAAATGAACTATTTGTGTGTATACATAGTGTATTTTTTACAATGCGTCATTTTGTGTTGATAATCCCCCTGAAATGGAATTTTGTTTGTGTATGTTTGATGAAGTGCACTATCTCTGTCTCTCTCTCTCTCTCTATCGGATGCTCATCCTTATTCCATTTAGGCTATTGTTATTGTGTATACCATGGTTTTCATGCCTTGTTGATCAAGAAGTGTCTATGTCACATAAAATCATCATCTTTTCTTCTCTGTAAGTAAATTATTGTAAAGGAAAGGACATAAGCATTAACATATAAATATATATACATATATAGATATCCTGGTGTTATTTTTAAATGGTTGTACTCTCTCTTCAAGATAAACAAAATCATGTTCTTTTGTCTTTTGTTTTTTTTAGACCACTCACTGTATTTTCATCTATAAAATGCGCCTCTCTCTCTTATGTATAATTGTTATTGTTGTTGGTGTTTTGCTTTGAGAAATCAGTTGACATATCTCTGTCTGTCTCTCTCTCTCTCTCTCCCAGTCAGTCAGTGTGTGTGTGTGTGTACAGGAGATTGGTTTCCTTTTTTTTTATACTCACCTACTACTACTACTACTACTGCTTCCACTTTATTATGTTGTATGAATGAATCCATCTATCTATCTATCTATATGTATGTATGTATGTACAGAAATTGTTTACACATTTTGCTATCCTTTTCTTTTCAGCTTTTAGACAGAGTTCGTTTTACATACAATGTTTCTTATCCTCTTCTCACATTTGAACTGATCTTATGTATACGGTTTATTATTATTATTATTCTTATTCATGGTATTTTATTCGGTTATAAATAATAATTTGTGATAATTATTAATAATAATATTATTATTATCATTGGTAAAAAATGTTTTCATTTATTTAGTAGTAATTAATAATTAATTTTTATTAAGTTAACATTGTTGTACACAATTTTCTAAAGAGAGAGTAGAGATGACATTAGACGTATTGATTATTTATAAGCCTGAGTAATGTTGCTCTCATATGGACAAAGTAAGACATAATGAAACAATCGTAATTGTGATATCGTATTGACATGTATCTCTGTTTCATAAAAAAATGTCAGTTTCCCGCAGGACTGTAGGTACATTTTATTGTTACGCAAATGTATGAAGGCAATTTGAAGTTGACTGGCACCAGCCGTCAGTGAGCTACAACATAGAACTGCATACATACGTACATCAGTTCAGGTTGCCAAACCACATAAGCACAGAGACGCAACTGTCAGTTCAGATCCAGTAGTGGTAGCAATAGTAGAAGTATTTGCAGTAATGGGGAAGATAAGGGTTGGAAGATATGTTTCGAGAAGTATAATTCAGTGAAACAAATTTAAAAAAGAGAAACATAAAGGTGATGAGAAATTGGGAAGGTTAGAATTTGAGAGAACACAAAGAATGAATGCACCTGCGCCATTGCAAATGGTTTTGAGCCATGTCATTGAAGGTCTCTAACCATCGGTGACTTTGGTCGCGCGGACCCCAACCAGGTAGCCTACATCTACCAACATGACCTAGTCCACTTGTTAGTGATGTCATGTATTTGTGCCATGTTTTGGTTTGGCCGCCCCTAGCTTTCGTCCACAAAACATCGATCGTCGGTGGTCGGGCATCCGTAACACATGTCCAAAGCACCTCAACTAATGAAGTTTCGATACTTCATCATTTGATCTGCCATCCTTACCTAGCACTCGTTTCCTAACTATAGCATTGCTCACTCGGTTGTCCCAGGATTCAGGAACAATGCTTCGAAGACATCTATAATCGGTTACTCATTGCTTACGAATATCCTCTACTCATACTGGCCATGTTGCGCATCCGTATAGTAGGACGGGGCGAACTGCTGCACAGTACACTCGTCTTTCGGTTAGCGAACGGGTATCTCGCCTACGCCATAAGTGACGCAGGTCAGCAAATGCCAATCGAGCTTATTAGCAACAACCGTAATACACACAAAGACATTGGCAAGCACGAAAAACCGTATTATACAGCAATACACACTGCATTTGTAAAATATGAAACCAATACATTAAACATACTAGCATATCTTCCTTGAATTAGTCCCTTACGAACTCCATTGTTCTTCTGTTCCTATCGTTACTGTAATTGCTCTCAATTTCTTTTCTAACAGTAAGAATTCTACTAATATTTCCCGCTATACACTACTTATATGTGTCTGTATAAGTAGGACGCAGCACATTAGCGGTAAATATGTTGTACATTCTAATCATATACTGGTCGACGACTAATTTGAAATGAAAATTTTCATAACTAGCGATGTCTAAGCAAGTCTGGTATTGCATAGGTACCATTACCGGCAATCGTCGCATGCAAACTCACTGATCTGAAGGCTTAATATTGATGAACCCTAAAATTTCCTGCTCGATTACAGAGGAGGGCTTGTATGATCCTATATACTGTGACAGGAGGGAGTATAACAGAAAGTGTTTATTGATTTTCAACGATTGTTCAATTAAAATCAGTTCATGATGTGGACTGAAAAAACAAAAGGTCAGATAAGTAGATGATGCTATTTCGATGAAGGATGATTCATCAAACCAAGTAAGGTCAAACTCACTTCACTGTAATGATCACACCAAACTCATGGTTCTTTACAGTTTGTTAACCAAAATGTTCGTTGAGCAGTTTCATTGTTGCCTGTTTTGGGGTAATTCTCGTTTAGTAAACATTTAATTGTTAATATTGACGGCGTCCATGAATTTCCATTGTATTTAATGATGATTCATATTACTCGCATTCTATTATGCTAAAAACATCAGAATTAATCCTTTTTACTAAGGATTAGTTGAATATCGACTGTTTGACTCGCCGAAAATTCTGAGAAAATGAGATATAATTTCCTGTGAGTTAAACTGTTGAAGAGCGATATACTTATGGCCTTGAGTAAACCAATCGGAATCAAAACAACGCTTCAATTATTCTGCGCCAAATTCATAGTGCGATAATTTATAACTTGTATGTTACGTATTAACCAAGTAAAAATTGACGATATATAATCTTTAAAATGCTTGTAGTGAAGTACTCATTGTAATTCTCTTAATTTTGTTAGTAGTTGGATGAAAGCATTGCATAATGAAAAATCAAACTCAAATCTCCAACCTAACCTTTTATCATGATATTCGATTCCAATTGTTGTTGAGATCTCTGTGGGGCGATTACTCTTACTCATAACACTAACATGACTTTTAAGATATAAACTTAACCCTGACCCTCCATTACAGAGAATAATTCAACATGTAAGGGTTGATTATTAGAATCTGAATAATTACTCCTAGTATAGATTTTAGCTGTTGATTGTTTTATGACTATTTCTATGATGAAGATATTACAAATGTAAATGCATTTATTGATGTTACATACATAAGAATCGTATAAGTTCATAAACTCAGTTTTTATCTTTCCTATGTCTTGTCACATCAAATTTACAATTATCGGTTGATCTTCTCACCTCATCATCGTTAACAGCAACGCATAGCTTTGCACGTAAGTACAGCAGTTCAAGTTGAACAAGAATGGAGAGAGTGGACAGCCCTGATGGACACCACTTGAAGTAAAGAATTCCGATGACAGTTCTCCATAAGCTCTCACTCGACCTGTAGTGTTCGGGTATAGAGTTTGATTAAGGTTAATGTACTTCTGTGGTACACCTTTTGATGACAGACACTGTCATAGAACCTCAAGATCTACAGAGTCAAATGCCGCCTTAAGGTCCAAGAAGACAACTATCGTTGGACGCCTAAATGTGTGTCTGTGTTCCAGGACCTGTAGTAGTGTAAAAATGTGGTCTATACAGCCACGTCCAGATCTGAAACCAGACTGGTTTTCTCTTGTCTGTCTTCACGAACTGTAGTTAGGCGTCTAAGTATAATCGAGGCAAACAATTTAGAAACTATATTACTTAAACTGATTTCCCTTTGATTGTCACAAGAAGACTTTTGTCCTTTATTATAAATTGGGACAATCATGGATTGAGACCAGTCGGATGGGATTACGTCCAGTTCCCAGATTCTACCTAAGATCCCAGTCAATCTGGCTGCTATAACTAAACAACATCCCTTAAAATTTCACGGTTAAATCTATCAGGACCCACTGCCCTCCCTCGTTTCAGATTTCTTATCGTTTTCTCAACTTCATAAAAAGTCGGGTGACTTATGTCAGTTTCCCATTCAGGATGACTGGAGATCGTGGGTAACCGAAATATGGCTGAAGGCCAGTTGAACTAATCCCTAAAGTGTTCTGCTCATCGATCTTCTCACTTAATTCGGTTTAATTACAATGTATCTTTTAAAAATAGAAAAAAAATAAATTTACAAACAAAGAAACTGACTTTTGTTTTTATTTCATTATAACAATAAATCATCATCACAATTGAATTTCATTCTATTATAAAAAAAAATTATACAAATTTACACATTGACTTTTCGGTTTGTTGGTGTAAATTTCTTTTTTTTAAAAACAATAAAAACACAATATCCAATCAAAATCCGATCACAATTTAAAATTAAATAAAATAAAAATAATGAAAAGAAAAGAAAATCAATTAATCATTTACAGGTAAACGAGTAAATGTTCCAGCTGTACCCATTGATCGATCATCAGCTTCTTTATATTCACACATTAATCGTTTTGCTGATTCTGGTCGTTTTCTTTCATTGACTTTCATACTGTTCCATAACATCATATCACATCTATAAAAGTATTCTTTAAAATCAGCATTTTGTTCTCCTATATGTCATACATACATACATAGATGGAAAGAAGAGAGAAATCATTAAAATTTAACAAATGTGAACATGATAGTTTATATAATGATATTATAGCACTCATATATTTTAATCACTTTGACTGTGTAACAGATTGTGATTAGAAATAGTACAGATCATCTATGATACATGAACTAGTACTGGAAAGTTCGTACCGATTATGAATAAGTATAGAGGTCTGTAAAAATTATATGCTTTCTGTTACGCCTGCACGTAAACACGTGATCTTGATATACTTGAACTATTATGAGTTTACCTAGTCGGCAAACGAGAGTGAGGATCCGGCGACACGACATGCTACTCGAATCCGATTA